GGCCCCACCAACCAAACGGAGAACACACAGCAGGCCTACAGTGACTGACAACCGTGGGTTTATTGGACCAACCCACGTTCCATACGTCGCCCCACCAACCAAACAGAGAACTCACAGTAGGTCCTACAGTGACAACCGTGGGTTTATACGACCAACCCACGTTCCATACGTCACCCTACCAACCAAACGGAGAACCACAGTAGGCCCTACAGTGACAACCTTGGGTTTATACGACCAACCCACTATACGTTCCCCCACCAACCAAACCGAGAACACACAGTAGGCCATACAGTGACAACCGTGGGTTTATACGACCAACCCACTATACGTTCCCCCACCAACCAAACCGAGAACCCACAGTACAGTGACAACACGTGGGTTCGCATTAAGCATCGGTGTCACTCCGGTGCCTCGTTGTAATATTTAACAAGCCGTTTGTTTCTGGAGGTTAACTGTGTACTGTTGGTACTGTGTTAAAGATGCGCAACGAAACTATCGAAAAGCGTAGCGTAGAGTGACCTTTTAGCGTTATTTATTTATTTTTAAGTTTGTGAAAATTTTTGTAGATTTTTTAGAAGTGCTGAAGATGTCGCAAGACGTGCTGGGTTCGTTGGCCTCGGCGAAACTTCGTGCGAAAAGAAAGCTTTTGGCGAAAACAGCTTCTTTACCCGCCGTTTTCCCTGATATTCCCGTGAGCATCACCCCAAGGCCGGCTGTCATGGTTAAGAAAACGGTAAGTTGGAACAAATATTTACAGGACTAGTGTAGAATTTATAATTTATTTTTCTCGACTTAAAGTATTAATTTTGAATGAATTAAAAACACTGTCTCTGGGTGGTACAAGTAGTTTTTAAACCTATAAATAATTATAAACTAGGAAATTGCATATTTAACATGTACAGTATAGTATAACCTTTTCCAAGTGCAACGTATGATTAGCTTATTTTGCGTATTTTGTGCGGACGCAGTGTTTTAGTTTGCTAGTCATTGTGTTTGTGTTTGAAACACAATAAAGAGGAGTTTTAGTTGTATAAAGACAGAAGTTGAGCTATATAGCTAAATACACAAGTGATTTCAGCATAAAAAAGGTTCAGTGTTTTTTTAGTTAGACTGGTTAGACGCATGTATTTTTTTAAATATACAGAATTTGACTGATCTGAGCCTAATCGACGCAGTGTTTTGGTAAAATATATTCAGATAATGAGTTTTTAGTTTTATGCTGAGTTTTTATATAAATGTTTACCTATTTAAAAAGATTTTTTTCGAAACAAGATTGTCGCAAGTTTACATTGGCACGTTTTGTTTCTATTAGCGCTTTATCATTTTATTTTGTTTTTAGAAAGGCTTACACTAGTTTAAATATTAAAAGCTACTATAAAAATACAACTTTTTATTTCAGATTATACAGATAAGTATCAAAGTACTTAAATGTAAGTTTACCTGCAGTGGTTATTGAGGTACTGCAACAAAAAACAAAAATAACAATAAGAAGTTAGTATTTCGGATAATAGACATAGTTTCTTATTATCATTACCTCGACGCACACCTATTATTTTTAGGTGCGTATTTACACCTGATAAGAATACAGGATGTGTGTAGAATGAAGTAAGACCTTTATGAGTGTAGTTTTGACACCGACTACGATCAGCTGTTTTGACCATTTATCATAATTTCAATACTCCATGACAGCTGGCCAGATTGCGAACACTAACTGACTTTTCTTTAGATCAAACCAGCGACCACAGAATTAAAATTCTGGGTCTAATTCTGTGGTCGCTGGATCAAACCAGTGATATTTTGTTAATATCAGGTGAGCAACAATCACAAAGTTACTGAGCTATTCTGGCATATAAAACGTTATTTTTTTCTGTTACCAAATTATCAAATGGACCCCAAACCCCCCGCAAACCCCTAGTTATGGTATGACTATACCACCGTTCTACAGTTGTCTTAATATCGCAAAAATATGCATCTTTTAAAGTTTTAAAACATTGGGATTATTTTACGACCCATTCGTTATTGATCCACCTCAAAATTTTAATTCATTTAAAGAAAAGTGAATAGCCAAAGTATACTATAGGTTCAAGTAGTTCTTGTAGTAGGGCTCAGTTGAGTCGTTCGGTTATTTACGCAGTTGTTTTCTATTATACTTTGTACTAACACTAGCAGTTTTTATTCCTATAAGAAATGTTATTGACGTTAATGACGTTATTGTTTAAACAAAACAGGTTTTCAAGTGTTAGCTTTGTGTTAGTAAATAGGAATTGAAGTATAACTATAACAATTAATTATACTAGTTTTTATATGATTTTATGTTTACAAAACAAAACTATCCAGAATGCTGACAATCAACCGTAAATAAACGTACTGAGATTCAAAGTAAAAGTTAGGCATTGGATAACAGTTACGTGTTGACAAAAATAGTTGAAATAAGGCAAAGATAAAACATATATAGTACTGAATGTAAATTTTACATAAATAAGCGAAAAATAAATGAATTCCTTATGCTAATAAGCAAACAAAACCCCTCATTTAAGGACGGTTATGTCGGAACCCTTGCAACTGACGTAAGGCCTACAAAATAAACTATATAATATATTATGTTAATCTACGGAGGAATGCCTTTAATTTTAAACCTCAATCATCTAAATTTGATTATGAAATAGAGATGTAGCTGCAATCCCACGAAAAAAATCCTGTTGGCATTAAAACATGAGTTGGTAAGTGATTCATTACTTTTAGAGCGAATAGTTAATCGAGCTTTGTAATGCGGATGCAGGTGAAAATAAGTGAAATAACTCACGTGCAGGCCCTATTTTGAACGACACAGGTATTCAATTATGCAAATCAATAATTTATGCTTGATCGATTGGATAACAAAACATTGCATAGCTGATGTTAGTACTACTTTTATAAAAAGGTACCACGCCAAGCAAGATGGCACCTGGGAGAATGCACCATTGACAAATTTGGTTTATAGTCAATTTGTCAATGCATTCACTTACGATAGCCGCTCTAGAAATCCATGGCGGAAACCATGCTTTACAGTACAGAGCTCAGAACATGTAAATTGAACACAGAAGATGAAATTATACAAAGTGTGTTTTAGTCAGGACCGGTTCTAGGAATTTTTCAGAGTTAAGCGAACACCCCCGAATCAGCGCCACCTAGAATCCCCCCCCCACCAAACCCATCATGAACATAACTTAACCCTATTTGTGGATTTATTTTTGGAAGAACTTTTTTTATGAGTTTAGGTTAGAAGAATACTTGCAATAAAAGACTTTTTTCAACTACTGTTTATTATTCACAGAAATTTAATATTTTTACACTTTTACTCATCATACCCTAACACTTTAGCAAAACCCAAAGTTAACAATTTATTTCTAAATGTGAAATCAATAATTTATAGAGGGATAACGTGGATAATCTTTTACTCATTCATTTCCGATGACGAAACGAATCCAATGTCTCATTAACTCCATGTCCAAATATTTACACTAGCAACTGTTTATAAAATACTTTCTTCTTATTTACTGCACTAATTATAAATTAAACTTAAAACACTCTTAATCATTCACTTATCAACACTCGTAAAAAAAAAATACCAATACGATCACGGCCGCCTTTAACTCCGGAATTTTTAGTGTCAAATACATATACATGATACATGATCTCTCCGTCCGTAGTCCTTTGCCTTAAGGAATTGGACATGTCAGCGTTAATACAAAGAATAACCAAACTTAAATACTTGTTTTTGTCACCGTTAAGGTAACTGTATATGTCATGAAAACTTAACTCCACTAGATATTTTTTTCAATTCTATTTTAATTTTGTTAAACTCTGAATTTCAAGTAATTTTTTCGGTAGGGCCTGGTACAATTTCATTCCCATGTCTGGTTTGTGTTCAAATGTTGTGAGTTTATGTTGGACTGCATGTGTGCCCTTTGTTCGGGTGTTGTAAGTGTGATTTGTAAAAGTTGGTTTAATGTTCTGTGATTTTATATAGCAAACTGATTCAAAGATGAAAAGTGAAGGGACTGTGAGAAAGCCATAAGTTCTTTAGAAACATTTTTGCAGCTGGTCCGAGGCGGCATACCCAAGATTGCTCTAACTGCCTTGTTCTGCCAAACAAAGATCTGCTCAATATTCTTCCTCACAGCTCCCCATAGGATGATTAAATACGATATGTGTTGTTCTATTAGGCCAAAAATACACAAGTAAGTTTAGAGAGAGCCGTCCCATAAGATAATATGGCAGACAAAGACAAGACACATCCGATCATTAATTCACACTTTATTGATTGAAATTTAAAATTATGAACATAAATGTATTGAAATATTCAAAATAAACAAAATAAAACAATCAAACCAAAACCATATGAATTGAAAATCTATATCTGTTTTCTGTACATTTAAAGCGGAGTCAATATTCTCATAGTGCAGCAACTAAGTTTTTGTAAATACACAAATACCCATTAGCTGCTTTCAAACAAAAGTAGCATTTAGTATTCTTTCCAATCACATCTACAAAATTAGATAATACAATTACAATACTTATTTTCAACGGGGTTTGAGTTGATGCGAGATTTAGTAAGACCATTCTTAATAATTATAAGTAAGAGCTCTTACTAATTATTTTCATCAAACCCATGACCTCACCAAAAGTTTTTGAGAGTTTGGAGACTGACATTTGTTTTTCAATCGCAACGACATAGTTGATTCAAAATTAGCCTATAGCAAAAAAATTGAGATTCCCCTGGATCATGGTAATAAAGCTTTTGCTACAGTAAAACTTGTTATATTCATTGGCTACATTCGTTGCAATTGATAGTCTGGGCTTGGGGCCTGGGTGAGTAAAAATGCCGCTGGAATTGACATCAAGAAAAAAAGGAAAAAAGAAGAAGAAGAACATAAAAACAAACGGAAATGACAGCTGTCTGTCTGTTTTGTTGTTTCTTGCTTGACTTCTGGCTGAGGCTGAGTGTTGATGTTGATGTTCTGTTCTGGCCCATGTTCTACTTCAGTAATTTTAATTATCTGTCTCATAATAATACAGTTAAACAGTAGCTACAATTTAAATAACCGTTTTACTTTAATGTTTATAAGCTCTTGACGTATGAGTTGACGTCTCATCGCCGTTGACAGGAGTTAACTATTTACATGCAATATTCATTAGATCCTCTTTATAGGCCTACCGTATCACAAGTTTTAATTGACCCTCTTCTATGAATTTGGGAGTGTTTAACAGAGTAAACTGGAAGGTACTCTATGACTTAATTTATGGTTTATTATGTATATTCTTACTTTATTTAAGGCGTAGGTCTTTGCTATTTAGCTAAGGCATTTATGAATAGGCCTAGACTCATTCAATTTGCCATCACTTAGGCATAGGCCTAAAAACAAGTTAGGCCAATTTACCCTAGTTGTAAAATATGCCTAGGCCTAGTTCAAATTGAGTTAGCTTTTGAACGCATTTTGTGTCATTTAGGCTAACATCTTTGTTAGGCCTATTTAGCCTCAATTGTAGACCTAAAATAGTTTTTAAACAATTCAAACACTTAACTTAGGCTAACAAATCTCATAAAACACTTTTCAATGTTGTCCAATCCTTTTCTTCATATGCACCAGTAAATAGGCTAGGCCTATAAATAATTAAGTTGGTGGGTACGTTACAGCAATTATAATTATAGGAATCGGAGCACGGTGGGATGTATTCGGAATGGGCATCTCTCAGCAATGTGGTGACCACTGGAGCTGGTGTGGACAGCACAAGTGTGCTGTTAAAGTTTCCATCATCAGCTGGTCGGGAGGTCGCAGTTTCGGTTGTCCGTCAGCTCGCCTCTAACCTTGGTATTACACAGGCTGCAGAACCCAGCAGCCTGACCACAGACAAGGAGGTCTTGTGGTCCATGGAAGTAAGTTAAGTAAATGTAACATTCAAGAATTGTATAGCCTAGGCCTAAATAAGTCCTGAAGTAAATCTTATGGCAGGCCTGCTTATTTTCTTTCCGAGACATGGTAGGCTACTAGTTCTCCTTTCTAAACAACAAAATAATCTGTTATCCTAACAAAAAATTACCAAAATGCCAAATATTATTTCTCTTTAAGTGTAACTTAATATTACATCTATCTACTGAAAAGGCTAATAATTCAACCTTCAGAAGGAAATATAGTCAGATTAAATATAGGATCTTTGTAAAGTAGCCTAATTAAAGTAAAGTAAAGTAAATCCTCTAAAGTAGTCCTAAAGTAGTATAGTGTAAAGTAGTCCTCTATGCACAGTTTAAATAATAAAAAATAACCCCTAAAAAGGAATTAAATTTCAATAAAGGAATGACAAATTGGTAATTTTTGTAATTTTCTAGTCAGGCCTGTGTTTAAAAATTGACGTAACATATTATCATACAAATGTTAAAGTTTTGTCAATCTAGCCTACATTTGTTACGGTAATTCAGCTCATTCCCATGAATAACTGCCAGCAAGTAGGAGATAACGTGTTTGTTGCCAGGTTCTCAACAACATCTAACTTATATTGTGATATTGAAGGATTATTTCGACCTAAGTTAAGCATTAGCCTATATCTAAAATCTAGAATTTTGCCCATCCATCTAATAAAATAAAGTTCTTAATTTTAATTGTGAATGATGACTATTTGAAACATCCTTTCAGGTGATTTGCTACGGGTTGAGTTTGCCGCTAAGTGAGCATGACACCATCAAAGATTGTGTCAACGTTTACTGTGAATGGCTCACTGCCCTCTACTCCATTCCGAAGATGAGTGTTCCGAAACCAATCTGCGAGGATCCTAACCTCTATGCTCGCAAGATGATCAGCCACTTTCATAACCTTTTCGTTCCCCGCAAAGGAGAAGGTGAGTTTGAAATTTGCATCGATGAATATTCATACGATAACTAGGTCTCTTCTGACTTTACCTTGAAAATACGGTAGGCCTAATTGATTGCAATGTTCTAACCTTTACTGCATAACGCTGAATTGAGACTAACTCGCTTTACTTTATTCATACTAACTGACCATAAGTGTATTCTTGAATGTTCTGAGATATTCATTGAATAGGCTGACTTTCAATTTCGATATTATCATCTTTATACATTTATTCAAAGCCCTAAATCTCTAATAAACTGGTTAATAAACTAAGTATTTTCGTTGTTGCAAATAGCCTAGAGAAGATTAGGACTTGTGTGAGACAGGAAACAATCAGTTTCAATGTTCTTATCACTTTACATATTGTACAATCAGAGATAAATTGCATGGATTGATTCACTACCTTCCTATTACTATTTTGTAAGGAATTTGTTGAAAAGGAATAGAGTTGAACTGGCTTACTTGAGACAATTAGAGCCCAGGGCCTAATAGATGTAACAATAAAGAACACAGCCCTATAAGTTAGCATCCTACTCTCTGGATAAATATATGTGTCATGTTTTGTGTTCTTTTATTTTGTGTCTATTAGCCCCTGGATTCTTATTTTCCCAGTTCAACTCTATTCCTTAAGAATAAGATCCTAACTAGCCAACTGGCTTTCCCGTAGAGTACTTCTATTTCGTGACTTATATATCGTTATTTAACCTAACAATTTTGCTTTAAGTTACCTACATTTTAAAATAAGTTTTAATAGTTAATTCATTTGATTATGTATCTACTTAAGCCTATGTAGGCTAGATATTTTCATCAATGCCACTTTTCTTTGTTGACTCATCTATTTATTTTTCAAGACTGGGCTTTCATTTATCAGGAACTTAGTAAGTACACACAATTCAAATTTTGGGATCTGTACACTGTTTTGTCTTTTTTTAGGAAGAAATGCACAATTTGATTATCAATTTAGCTTTAGCAGTACAAGATGCTAATTTGTTGTTCGCTTTTTAGTCAGCTAGGTTACATCAAGTATTGTTTAGAGGGTATTTAATGCCATTGCTTTGAAATGTATCTGTTGTATTGTTTATAGTGTATTTAGTTACCATTAGTTGTGTTTAGTAAGCCTACTATCATTCCTTTAGTTTATAAAGCTTCAAACAGCTTGTACTGCTCGTAGAACAATACAAAGAAATATAATTATTAGCAACATTCCGTTGTACAAAGCAATTTCCTCTTCCTCTCACATTTCACTGGTATTGTTTGCTTAATCTACCTTATTTTTCATTGTTTGGCTGTAAAATGATTTACCATGCATATAGCAGTAATTTTATTGCCATATTAAATTCACAATTTATTATTGAATTTATACTAGTTGATTAAACTAGTAAAAGTCTTTGTAGTTAAATATTTTCTATTGTCCTTTTTATTTATGCTTCTTTATTTCACAATGATAATGTAGATTTATATTTTTTTTGTATTAATTTAGTATTTTTAAGTCTCAATATCACAAATTCAACTTTAAATAGTTAAAAGTTGGTTTGGGGTTACTTTATTTTCATAATTTAAAATATTTTCATAACTATTACAGCGGATGAGTGATTTCCAGCATTTCTTCATTATTTAGGCCTATTTCATAGTAAAAGTTGTGATTGCTACTTTAAACAGGTTTGTAGTTCAACCTGAAAAAGTTGACTACTACCACTATGGTATAGCATATTGGGACGTCTTCTTCATTTAAAAGTTAATGATAAAACAAAATGAAAATGAAGTGATTAATGATTCTCTGTAGTGTTGAGAAATTAATACACTACAACTTACCTATAAGCAATATCACAGAGAAGTACAATACAGAGGATATAATCTTATGGGACAACCGCGTGTGCTTTTAGCTCTGGTATATTGGGGCGGAAATGTACGACTATCGAACAAGGAAGAGCTTGAATTGCGATGGTCACATAGCATATTTGTACAGCAGTTGTAGCGCACAGGGTCTTCCTTCAGTGTGAGCGCTGTAGTACATAATGGCGAGGGGGCAATGGAGAGCGGAACTGGACGACGAATAGAATTTGCTCTAGACACCAGCGACTGGTACTAGACACCGCTTAAGTGTACCATTGAATCTTTCTGTTTCTTACTTAACTCCGTGAAAATATGTACTATAAACATAGACACATTACGGCTTTGTTTTTCATATAATTTTATCTAATTTAAAACAAATGGTTATCTTTTTAATTTTGTTAACTTCACACAGTTTTTGCAAGTTCCTGTTTTGTACATTCAACAACCATGAAACACATAAAAGTATGTATACACTTAGATGGATGAGATTGTAATTTTAGTTTAGGAAGGGACGGAACAGTATTGTAATTTCCTTTCCAAATATAATTGGATCGGGAACAGGACATAATTTTTCTTCCCGTACAACAGGGGAAACTAATTTTGTTTTTAAAAATCTTCGATTGAATAACATGTTTTGCAAATGGTAATGATGACGAACAATATAACATATGAGTTTTTATTGCTCTTTTTTATATAACCAAACCACTGACTGTAATCCATGATCTTGGCACTATCGTTTTTATCTCACACGATTACGGTGAATTCAGGAACATCTCCATAGGAGCATTGCAAAATTGTTGACAGCTGGAACAAATCTGTTCAAAGAAAACCAAGAACGAAATATTATCCCGCCCTAGGATCGAGAATGTATTTTCCCAAAAAAGTCCATCACTATCGTACACTAACCGTTGCCTGAGTTTGACATACATCATGTTTTTACCAGCGCCAGACACCATCAACCGACAGGCCGTACTGTGTCACCGAGTGCTGAGGACACTACAGCATGTCGCTCATCACTCTGTCATCATGGACAGGGAGACCTGGGAAACTCTGCTGATGTTTCTGCTAGCCATCAACGACACTCTGCTGGCCCCACCAACCATCAAAGGTGAATATTTTGGTCGTTTTTGTTAGTTTCAAAATCAGTGATAGTTTGTAATTTAGAATATTAGGGGAAGGAGTGAAATTTGTTATATGCACGAAGGATATTAAGGGGAGTCGCTACTGAAAAACTACCAATTTTGTAAAAAACTTGAATTTTTTATTATTTTTTTATCTTGTTCTATGGATTGTAAGGTTTCAGAAAAACATAACATTTGGTATAATATATATTTTTTTCACTGTGAAAAAAATATTTGAAGTGAAGCGCGCACACCTCTTTTGGGGCATCAACTAGGCCTAGTATAAACCAACGTATAAACTTCAACCGCTGTTTTCCGTGACTTTAAAATTTTGTTTTTTTTATATATAAGTTCTTATAACTTTTTAACTATTGCAGCTATATGAATGAAATTTTTACCACACATTGTTTATACTATAAATCAACTTTCTGTGCATGGATATTGTAATTGGGTAAATAAAAGTACATGAAAAAAAATTTATAAAAATTTATAACCTATAAATTTTTCAAAAACTTATTTTTGAAGCCATAACTTATAAACTAATTGAGAAAATAACATGAGTATGCACAGAAAGTATGTGCTTTCCTTGCTCTTTAAAATAAGATATCGAACAATAAAATTGGTTCAGTAGTTAAATAGTTATAAGAGATTTAAAAAACCCAATTTTTTCCCGGCAAAAAACTTAAAAAACTCCAAAAAGTATGTAAAAATTTTTTTTTTTTACTTTAACGGCAGTAAATCTTTTTCTAAGACTAAATGAACTTTAAAAAGTATATATGATAATTTTTAAAAGGATTTTATTAAAAATCACTAGTTTCAGTAGCGACTCCCCTTAAGCACGAAAGTCTGAGATGCTAAGGCTTGCAATACAGGCTGAGGTTTAGGTTAGGCTTTGTAAGTTGAAGCATAGACTAACCAACACCTCAGTCCACAAGTAGACTTCTCATTGTAAATTTTAAAGCTTGGGTCAGGTAAAAAGTGTTGACCTTCAGTTCTCGGACCAAAATCATTTGGCTGTAAAAGGTGCTGATTTAAAAAAATATTAATTTTTTTTACTACAATCAGAAAATGAACATATCCTGAGTAGTGATAAAATCAGGACTTTTACCAGGGTTTTGCTTAAAAATCGCGATCATCTTCCGTGGTTATGGTAAATTCATACAAGCGTCTCCACTTGATCATGGTGGAATTGTGAATATCTTCCTGGTTGTGCCATGTGGTTGCAGAGACATCATAATTGTCACCCATGGTAAAATCCTCGGAAAACGTGAATAAATTACCTTCTATTATAAATTACTCAACCTGAGCTTAGCGAAAATATAAATTACTCAACCTCAACTTAGTCTTAAAATTATTCCTGGCTCGAACCGATCTCTTGGGTCAGATGTTAGCCTGGACCTGAGAATCCCACTTACTTACAGACCCCTAAGCACAAGTAGCTTCTTACCACCAAATTCTGTATGTAACACATGTCCGCAGACGACGTGGGAGACCAGCTGTGTGAGAGGGTGTTGAGTGTGCTGGTAGAGGTGTGGCTGGTAGCCTGTACACACCACTTCCCCTCCCCGCCATTGTGGAAGACACTAAGAGAGCTGACCATGAACTGGCGACACCGGGTGGCTCTGGTAGAGCAGTGGAACAGAGTCAACCTAGCTCTGACGCAGAGACTGCTAGAGTCAATGTACGGCCCAGCGTTCCCGGAGCTGAAGATATGTGAGTGTTACTAGTTTATTTTGATATTACCGTATTAATGAGAAGAACTTTGCTTTGGTGCATATAGCTTTTAAATAGAATACAGCTACAGTAGAGTCCTGCTATTCTGAACTAACTCTCGGCAATAATGCCTACATAGCCAACAGCACATCGATATTGCAGACTTAGTGACTTAGTTGTTTTTGTAGACCTACTGGGACATTTTTGGAATGTTTAGAAGTTTAGAATACTAGGGTCAGAAAAGCAGTACTCTGCTGTACACTTTTAGGCAGTTAGGAACAAATAATCTACTTAATAGACTTGATATCTTATGTCCTCTGAGGCTTTATAAACTAAGAGAAATGGAGAGGGTTCATCAATAAATGTTTCTTCCACCTATCAGAAGAAATTTACCAGCCTAAGTCATCTGCCTGAGACTATATAGAAAGAGTTCTTCGATTCACAACATTTTAGGTAGGCTAGCTCAAATCTATCACTTCACAAAAACTTAATCAGCTTCCAAAAAATTTCTTCCTTCAAAATGTAGTCACAATTTGGTAATTCTTACCTTCTCAGGGCACCCTCGGAAAAATAAATTTTCTTTTTTCAAAACCTCCAACCTAACCTAACCTAACCATCCCATTTTCCCGGTCGTAGCTTAGTTATTTTTCCAACGCTTTTCTGGCCGTATCTCCGCTAATATCCATCAGATCTTGAAACTTGTTACGTATTCTTGTTGAGCTCGCTCTACCGGTTAATTTGAGTACACACACGACTTATTTCCGCAAACATGTTTTTCCGCTTTACTAGGGTTTTCCGACATGAACGTAAAAAATCAGGGCGTTATTTTATACAAAAAAAATGTAATTCCCGAGGGTGCACTGAGAATGTAAGAACTACCCACAATTTATATAATTTTAATTATAATTCTAAAGAAACTAATACCATGAGACCTGTAGTATTGAAAAACTATGCGTGTTTACAGTGGAGGAGGACGCAGCCCTGATACCTCCCGGGATGACAGACTCTTGTATAGCTCAGTGCTGGTTCAGGTTCCTACACTGTATAGGCAACCCTGTAGACCTGTGTAGACCTCAGGTCATCTCTCAGACACACAAGTTCCTACAGTTTGCCCTCACAAGTGACACTGGTAAGTAGTCCAGGGATGACAGACTCCTGTATAGCTCAGTGCTGGTTCAGGTTCCTACACTGTATAGGCAACCCTGTAGACCTGTGTAGACCTCAGGTCATCTCTCAGACACACAAGTTTCTACAGTTTGCCCTCACAAGTGACACTGGTAAGTAGTCCAGGGGATGACAGACTCCTGTATAGCTCAGTGCTGGTTCAGGTTCCTACACTGTATAGGCAACCCTGTAGACCTGTGTAGACCTCAGGTCATCTCTCAGACACACAAGTTTCTACAGTTTGCCCTCACAAGTGACACTGGTAAGTAGACCAGGAATGACAGACTCCTGTATAGCTCAGTGCTGGTTCAGGTTCCTACACTGTATAGGCAACCCAGTAGACCTGTGGAGACCTCAGGTCATCTCTCACACACACAAGTTCCTACAGTTTGCCCTCACAAGTGACACTGGTAAGTAGACCAGGAATGACAGACTCCTGTATAGCTCAGTGCTGGTTCAGGTTCCTACACTGTATAGGCAACCCTGTAGACCTGTGTAGACCTCAGGTCATCTCTCAGACACACAAGTTCCTACAGTTTGCCCTCACAAGTGACACGGGTAAGTAGACCAGGCATGACAGACTCCTGTATAGCTCAGTGCTGGTTCAGGTTCCTACACTGTATAGGCAACCCTGTAGACCTGTGTAGACCTCAGGTCATCTCTCAGACACACAAGTTCCTACAGTTTGCTCTCACAAGTGACACTGGTAAGTAGTCCAGGCATGACAGACTCCTGTATAGCTCAGTGCTGGTTCAGGTTCCTACACTGTATAGGCAACCCTGTAGACCTGTGTAGACCTCAGGTCATCTCTCAGACACACAAGTTCCTACAGTTTGCCCTCACAAGTGACACTGGTAAGTAGACCAGGGATGACAGACTCCTGTATAGCTCAGTGCTGGTTCAGGTTCCTACACTGTATAGGCAACCCTGTAGACCTGTGTAGACCTCAGGTCATCTCTCAGACACACAAGTTCCTACAGTTTGCTCTCACAAGTGACACTGGTAAGTAGTCCAGGCATGACAGACTCCTGTATAGCTCAGTGCTGGTTCAGGTTCCTACACTGTATAGGCAACCCTGTAGACCTGTGTAGACCTCAGGTCATCTCTCAGACACACAAGTTCCTACAGTTTGCTCTCACAAGTGATACTGGTAAGTAGTCCAGGCATGACAGACTCCTGTATAGCTCAGTGCTGGTTCAGGTTCCTACACTGTATAGGCAACCCAGTAGACCTGTGTAGACCTCAGGTCATCTCTCAGACACACAAGTTCCTACAGTTTGCCCTCACAAGTGACACTGGTAAGTAGTCCAGGGATGACAGACTCCTGTATAGCTCAGTGCTGGTTCAGGTTCCTACACTGTATAGGCAACCCTGTAGACCTGTGTAGACCTCAGGTCATCTCTCAGACACACAAGTCCCTACAGTTTGCCCTCACAAGTGATACTGGTAAGTAGACCAGGCATGACAGACTCCTGTATAGCTCAGTGCTGGTTCAGGTTCCTACACTGTATAGGCAACCCAGTAGACCTGTGTAGACCTCAGGTCATCTCTCAGACACACAAGTTCCTACAGTTTGCCCTCACAAGTGACACTGGTAAGTAGACCAGGGATGACAGACTCCTGTATAGCTCAGTGCTGGTTCAGGTTCCTACACTGTATAGGCAACCCTGTAGACCTGTGTAGACCTCAGGTCATCTCTCAGACACACAAGTTCCTACAGTTTGCCCTCACAAGTGACACTGGTAAGTAGTCCAGGCATGACAGACTCCTGTATAGCTCAGTGCTGGTTCAGGTTCCTACACTGTATAGGCAACCCTGTAGACCTGTGTAGACCTCAGGTCATCTCTCAGACACACAAGTTTCTACAGTTTGCCCTCACAAGTGACACGGGTAAGTAGACCAGGCATGACAGACTCCTGTATAGCTCAGTGCTGGTTCAGGTTCCTACACTGTATAGGCAACCCTGTAGACCTGTGTAGACCTCAGGTCATCTCTCAGACACACAAGTTCCTACAGTTTGCCCTCACAAGTGACACTGGTAAGTAGACCAGGAATGACAGACTCCTGTATAGCTCAGTGCTGGTTCAGGTTCCTACACTGTATAGGCAACCCTGTAGACCTGTGTAGACCTCAGGTCATCTCTCACACACACAAGTTCCTACAGTTTGCCCTCACAAGTGACACTGGTAAGTAGACCAGGAATGACAGACTCCTGTATAGCTCAGTGCTGGTTCAGGTTCCTACACTGTATAGGCAACCCTGTAGACCTGTGTAGACCTCAGGTCATCTCTCACACACACAAGTTCCTACAGTTTGCCCTCACAAGTGACACTGGTAAGTAGACCAGGAATGACAGACTCCTGTATAGCTCAGTGCTGGTTCAGGTTCCTACACTGTATAGGCAACCCTGTAGACCTGTGTAGACCTCAGGTCATCTCTCAGACACACAAGTTCCTACAGTTTGCTCTCACAAGTGACACTGGTAAGTAGTCCAGGCATGACAGACTCCTGTATAGCTCAGTGCTGGTTCAGGTTCCTACACTGTATAGGCAACCCTGTAGACCTGTGTAGACCTCAGGTCATCTCTCAGACACACAAGTTCCTACAGTTTGCTCTCACAAGTGACACTGGTAAGTAGTCCAGGGATGACAGACTCCTGTATAGCTCAGTGCTGGTTCAGGTTCCTACACTGTATAGGCAACCCTGTAGACCTGTGTAGACCTCAGGTCATCTCTCAGACACACAAGTTCCTACAGTTTGCTCTCACAAGTGACACTGGTAAGTAGACCAGGCATGACAGACTCCTGTATAGCTCAGTGCTGGTTCAGGTTCCTACACTGTATAGGCAACCCTGTAGACCTGTGTAGACCTCAGGTCATCTCACAGACACACAAGTTCCTACAGTTTGCCCTCACAAGTGATACTGGTAAGTAGACCAGGCATGACAGACTCCTGTATAGCTCAGTGCTGGTTCAGGTTCCTACACTGTATAGGCAACCCTGTAGACCTGTGTAGACCTCAGGTCATCTCACAGACACACAAGTTCCTACAGTTTGCCCTCACAAGTGACACTGGTAAGTAGACCAGGCATGACAGACTCCTGTATAGCTCAGTGCTGGTTCAGGTTCCTACACTGTATAGGCAACCCTGTAGACTTGTGTAGACCTCAGGTCATCTCTCAGACACACAAGTTCCTACAGTTTGCCCTCACAAGTGATACTGGTAAGTAGTCCAGGCATGACAGACTCCTGTATAGCTCAGTGCTGGTTCAGGTTCCTACACTGTATAGGCAACCCAGTAGACCTGTGTAGACCTCAGGTCATCTCTCAGACACACATGTTCCTACAGTTTGCCCTCACAAGTGACACTGGTAAGTAGACCAGGCATGACAGACTCCTGTATAGCTCAGTGCTGGTTCAGGTTCCTACACTGTATAGGCAACCCTGTAGACCTGTGTAGACCTCAGGTCATCTCTCAGACACACAAGTTCCTACAGTTTGCCCTCACAAGTGACACTGGTAAGTAGTCCAGGGATGACAGACTCCTGTATAGCTCAGTGCTGGTTCAGGTTCCTACACTGTATAGGCAACCCTGTAGACCTGTGTAGACCTCAGGTCATCTCTCAGACACACAAGTTCCTACAGTTTGCCCTCACAAGTGATACTGGTAAGTAGTCCAGGCATGACAGACTCCTGTATAGCTCAGTGCTGGTTCAGGTTCCTACACTGTATAGGCAACCCTGTAGACCTGTGTAGACCTCAGGTCATCTCTCAGACACACAAGTTCCTACAGTTTGCTCTCACAAGTGACACTGGTAAGTAGACCAGGCATGACAGACTCCTGTATAGCTCAGTGCTGGTTCAGGTTCCTACACTGTATAGGCAATCCTGTAGACCTCAGGTCATCTCTCAGACACACAAGTTCCTACAGTTTGCCCTCACAAGTGACACTGGTAAGTAGTCCAGGCATGACAGACTCCTGTATAGCTCAGTGCTGGTTCAGGTTCCTACACTGTATAGGCAACCCAGTAGACCTGTGTAGACCTCAGGTCATCTCTCAGACACACAAGTTCCTACAGTTTGCTCTCACAAGTGACACTGGTAAGTAGTCCAGGAATGACAGACTCCTGTATAGCTCAGTGCTGGTTCAGGTTCCTACACTGTATAGGCAACCCAGTAGACCTGTGTAGACCTCAGGTCATCTCTCAGACACACAAGTTCCTACAGTTTGCTCTCACAAGTGACACTGGTAAGTAGACCTAGGTGCTTGGTGGTAGGGATTTGTTTGTCCTAGGACGTTAGGCTCGAGCCTGGGATTGTTTGTTTTTCACATACTTCAGGCTAGACATAGGAGTTGTGTCATTGTCATTACCACTTAGATAAAATCCATTGGTTTTTCAATCAAGTAAAATGTGTTGTGATAAAGTTTTAAGTACTGTACCTATGAAGATGTTTTAAAGAATTATAAATATTTGACGGGTTGAAGAAGAAAGTTAAAGTGTCTGTAATTGAAAATCGTTTTACAAATTATAAAATTAACACTGAAATCGTTTGGGAAAAAATCTACCCCTAATATAAAATATTTGATTACATTTTCAATTCCATCCTGACCATCTAAGTCAGCACTTTTTATCATATTTGTGTTACTGATTTTTATTTTACAAGCATACAATAGTTGTACTATTATCGGAAAGAAACAGTTCATTATTTTTAATAAAACTCAATATTGTATTTTTTTCTTGCAGTTGTGGACCCCTGTCAACATCCCTGCTTGAACATTCTACCATTGAACTTCCTCAAAGCCATTAAAGGAATAGCAGGACAAGTTGATGCTTTCTTAGGTAACCGTAGTCTGAACTTGGTCTATACTATACCTTACTTAATGCAGCCATTTTCATTCCACTCGATAAAGCTACCAGTGTGTAAAATACCACAGCTTAAACTCTTGGATACCATTGTGTGGTTGAGAATATTTTTCTGGAACTTCTACTAGGATCGTCCAGAAAGTAAAGAACGAATACGAAGTTTTGTATAGTGCAGATCCCAGCGATTAACGGCCGGTTGAACCCTAAAATTTCTTTCTCTTTTACGTTAGCTCTGTCGTTTAAGAGTCTTTTTCATTCACACATTGCCCGGCCTCATGCTTTTGCACGAACGTAGCAGTAACTTTAACGTAAATGAGCTCTTTAGTGAAAAATCTTTGGTCATACTCCTTATAGCACTGACCTTTGGGTGGAAAATAGTTTGAAAATACGAGTATATTAAATAAGCAGCGACAACATAGCTAAAATATCTAGCTGCTGATCTGTATAACATTGGAATATAAAACCTGAACTCAAATTAAAACAAGTGTCTTAAAAACCTAGTCCTACTTTACAATAAGTGTCTTGACAACAATGAGAATTACGTAGAACAGTGGAATAAAGAACTGTGGCTTTGTAAATAATGTTTGGTGTTGGTATCTTTTGTTTTTATTTTATCATGCTAAAACGTTCTTTACTTTCTGGACGACCCATGTTTAAACAGCTGGTATATCTGCACAGCTTTTGGGTTTCATTGGTTGCACTGTATCTAAAAAAATTGGATACATTTTTCAAGCGAACTTTTTTAGTGAACTAATCCCCTAAAAGTCTCAAGAAATATTTGTATGTTGATTTATTGTGAAATGGGTCAACTTTACAGCTAAATGAATGGTGTCTTAAACGTTTTTTCAGGCAATTGTGTTTACTAACCTTAAAATATTTTCAGTGTTGCAGAAAGTAGAGGTGTGAAAGCATGAGCTTTCCAATCAAGCCAAGCAAAAGCCAAGATTTTTTCAGCCGAGCTATTTTATATCACAAATTTTACGTAATGCCATGCAATAACACCATAAAACCACCATAACACCTTCTGCGGACACCATAAAATCCAGAATATATCCCTCAGTCACAGAAACATCATTGTTTTCTCCAATTGCAATAAAATCCTGAATATCTCCCGTGTTAAGAGAAATCCTTTGCGAATGCGGCAAAGTAGGCTACTAATTATCTCTCAGAATTTTTCAGACATCAACATTGTCTTCTGCGATCATTCCCAAATCGTTGACATCTCTAGCGGTCGTGAAGACATCATTCTCATTATGGAGGCAAAATATTGAAAACCTCTTGCAAAAACATAATTATTGTTGTCCTTAATCTTGGAAAATTCTGAATACCTCCCGCAGCGGTATATCATTATTGTCTTCCGCGATCATGGAAATGTTATCGCCGTTATCTGCAACTACTTCAAAAGCGGGAATTTTTTGATTACGCAATCTTCACAGACACATTCTCTAATCGCAGGAACATCGCGATTGTAAAAACTTGGCTCGGGCTAAATTTTTTTAACTTGGTACTTAATCTCTAAAGCTTGTAGGCTTGGCTTGGCTCAGCTTAAAAATGGCTGACACACCTCTAGTAGAAATATATCACCACCTGACTCTCGACCGAAGTACCCAACAGTGTCGTTGGATGTATAGAGATGTTTTCTGCTCAGGTACTCAGTCCCAGAGTCTTGTGTGGGATATGGGGGAACTGACGGAGAGGGACAAGAAGGACCCCCATCCCCCCACACACTCCCCCACCCCCCCGCCAGTACGGCGGCTTGCTAAGAGCTTTAGTGTTGCACCCTCTGCAGTCACCAAGGGTACGCTATCTCCATGTCTGTCTCTATGTTGGTACATGTTGTGGTATACAACTGGTGTTACGAGAAAAAAAAATCACTTTTAGTTAAATTGTACTCAAGGTACAACTACAACGTAACCAATTTTTAAGAGTTGATTTAGTAGGTGTCAAGAACTGAAAAATACATTATTAATTTAGGTACTTTCCTGTTAAAGGGAACATTCATTATTATCGATTATTTTTTCTCGATATATCGATATTTTTGTTTACCGATCCATTACATATTGACAACTGATCTTGTTTAGGCTAAAATAGTCTATTATATGGGTTAAGAAATGAAACTGTTCTAAGCTAACCTAACATAACCAACCAAACTTGCTGTACTATTTAAAAATTCCTTTTGATAACAGAAAAGGCAAGTTAAACATGGAATGTTACACAGCTACTTTAGTTATGTTAGGTTTTATTTTCTTTTAGAACAGTTTCATTTCATTTTTGTGTTTGTTGATACTGAACAATATTTATCGTAGTTGTCAGCTGATATGTTTCAATTTGTTAATATCGATACATAGAGAAAAAATAATCGATAATAATGAATGTTCCCTTTAACAGGAAAGTACCTTAATTTACTAATGCCTATAAATAACAAACGATATTATAGGTTAATGTTAATACTTTTAGTCCGTCTTCAGTCCTTAATATAGTCAAGGGTGACTATTTTCGGTTCAGAAATGTCCCATTTTCAAACCCATTTCATCAAATTGGTTGGCCGTAAATCTGGTAGAAGTCTTTGTTATGAAACATCAAATAAACGTTGACACAAAAAGTTTACAAATTTTTTACTTAAAGAACATTTAATGATGCTAGCCCCCCACATTTATATGAGGGACACACTGCAGGTAGCACGGCAGACACGACGAACTGTCAGTAAATGTATGAACTTTATGTGTTGACGTGTATTTATTTGTTATAACGAAAACTTCTGTCAGATTTATGGACTAACCAATTTGGGTGATTTCTGACCCGAAACTAGTCACCCTTGACTATATTAAGGACTGAAGACTGACTAAATGTACTAACCTATAATTTCATTTGTACCTTAGTCTTGGTGGCAAAAATGTTTAAAATAAAAAAAAAAAAACATGTTTCTGGTGTGTTCAGTTAGTTCTGAATGTATTTCATATTATTTCACAGTGAAAACTGGAACCTTTTGAAAAATATGCTTTGCAATCCAGTCATTTACGATATTTTTCTCTAAATGACCCTAAAAAACTATTGTTTTTTACCATTACCCACATGTATCAACATTGGTTAAGGATTTTTATTTTTCATTGCATTCTTCTTCCCCAGCATGTCTCTTGCGTAATTAATATTATTTTGTAAATTCATCATTTTTGCAAAATATAAATACTTGTAAATTTGTTAATGTTAGTATGCAGTACCTCTCCAAAATAAGGCACAGGCCTAACAGAATTCATTATGAATAAAGAAGACTTATTTTACGATTGAAGTCATTTTAATTGTTAAGTTATAATTACATTTTATTCAAGAAACACATTTGAGCACGCTGGGAAAAAGATTTTTGGTTATATTACGTGCACACTCTTTATATTTGCTTTTGCACTTGCACATTACTAAATTTGATTTATGTTTATTTTTTTCTAAACACTTCTGTATGATATCTGTATGATTTGAATTCTTGTAAAATCTGTATATAAAAGAAAACTGAATTTTATTATTTACCTAAAGGATTAATATTGTAAAATATATGTATATTTATCTATTCACAGCCCATTTGTATTTATAATTTTTTTAATGGGCTTAGGATATTTCACTATAGTTTATCCATAGTCAAAGGTAAGTCAGTTTACTTTGCGTATTAGACAATTTTATTTTTACCCCAGTAAAAGTTTATTGATCATTGTTAGAGTTGTATATTTTTATGTTGTGATTCAAAGGTGGGTTGAAACTTGTGCATTCTGCAGAGTTGTTTCGACTGCACACGGTCGACGATTTTGGTAAAATAGATCTTTTGAAACCAAGCTTCTTTGCAGACTTAAAAAATTAATTCTCTAGACAGTGATTCCCAACCCAGTATAATGTTTTGGAGGGGTTTTAAAACATCAGGGTACATTATTTTTGGGGAAGCGGAGCGAGTGCCATCCTATTTTTTGCCGTTGGATTTATAAACTGTCAAAACAGTCAGGTAGGCCCAAGCATTCGGATTAGTGGACGTTCGGATTACAGGTGTTCGTATTAAAGAGGTTCTACTGTACTTGAGAAAATTAGGGTCCAGGGCCCTGGGTTGGGAATCGTTCTACTAGAAGCTTGTCGTTTCACACTTTTATCCCTGCAATTAAAAACTGTCAGTTTATTGCTTTCTAAATAGAAATTGTAGCTATAATTCAGATATTGTTTGGACACTAAAATGAATTCCCAGCACTTTAAACAATTCATAAGTATTTACAACTATTTTTTTTTTTTTTAAAGCTTGAATTAACAAATTTTGTCAATGTTGTAACTGCTAATTAAATTTGTTGTAACAACACAATAATACTTTGAAACTTAATGTAGTTACTTATATGCCTGTTTGCCTGGTTAGTATAAAGAAAGAATTAAAACTTTTAACTTTAGTTTTTTTTTACTTAAGGAAAAATTAACTAATTTTAGGAAAAAAATCTAGAGTCATTTTTTACTTTAGGTAAGTAGATATTACCGTCTGCAAGACTTAGGTCTACCATTTATTTTTTATAATTGCTGGGCACTGGGCAGTAAACTAATTACAATTTTTACACATATCAAAGTGTAAATTTAAATGTAACAAAATAAAATTTGAGTATATTTTCCTTTTTCTCAACCATTTTGCATAAATTCTATGAAGTAATCAGATATTTATTTGATTCTTTGGCTGCTTAGTTTGCAAGTTTGCTGCAACAAGGGTATTAAGTTTACTCGTGGCATTGTCAATGTAATATAATCTCATACTTTTAAATCTAAATTGTCGGACGTACCTATCGGAATCAGTTGATGTGCAAATCCTTGCATTAGACAAGGGGACCTGATCATTCATTGTAGTGTATTTTTTTTTATGATAAGGTGTATAATTATGATTTGCCGGTTAAGGTTTTTCAAATTGCTTAATCAGCAATACTGTATTTTTACGGATACATTACTAGTGGTCAAATTATACTGAAATGATTAAAAACAGAGTTTAAAGACTTTGGTGTTCTAGTGCACTCTCGTAACTTCCCATTGAACAATTATTGATTGATCACTTTGTGAGTGTGTTTTGAGTCAGTCTGTGTATGCTAGGTATTCCGAAGGCGTCCCTGATAGGTCTGACGTCCAGTCGTATACAAGCGTCCACACACACACCTCTCAGTTCTGGTCCATCTTCCACTTCTAGTGCTACATGTGAGTATAAACTACATAGAACATTCAGAATTAATATATATGTTATTGTTTCATAGTGTATGATTTTAACACATTAAATGGTAGGCCTAATCCATGTAGGTAAAGCTGTGTTAAATCTGATCAGTGGGGTTTGAAAATTGAACCATTACAACCATTGAAAATTAAATTTCATTAGTCGTCTGCCGCATTAACGGTCCACCACAACCCGTTAGTTGTTCACGGAAGTAGATGTAATAGTATTTGAATACGATTGTTTACGTCCTGGAAATCAAGAATCTTTTTCAGGAACTGATTGAGTAAGATTTAAATAATTTAAGGATTTTTGGCACAAGAATGTCGCAATTTTATCATAATCATAACTGCAATTCTGACTGTTGAACACATATTGATTCTGACAATTTTCAGTGATTTTAACAGCAGCACTAGTCGGGTCAATAATTTTTTTCTCTCTTTCTGCATAGTTATTGAATGAATTTAAGGTTATGTTTTGTGTCAAAATGCCGCGACTGTTTTGTTTACGATTGTGTGAAATAGACGTTAAGTCTATATAGATAATTGCAAATTTTTTGGAGGAGGAAAATAGTAATTTAAGACAACATATTAATGAATAAGGAAGTTAATTTTTTTTTGTAAGTCACTAAAAGAGCAAAAATAGGATATCCTGTTTGTAATAAGCTAGTGCAATTTCGTTATGCCAAGCTATAAAAAAGATGCTGTAAAAGAGGAAAACCGAATTTTTAATGTAAAACTTCATAATAAAAAAAAAAATTACAATTAAATAGTCTTATAAATTTACAAACACAGAACATACCTTACGGCCAAAAGATTTTTTTGACAGAGGTGATTTCAAACAAGTACCGAAGCATAGACCTACACTTAACACTGAAAACTTCATAATAAAAAAAAAAATTACAATTAAATAGTCTTATAAATTTACAAACACAGAACATACCTTACGTCCAAAAGACTTTTTTGACAGAGGCGATTTCAAACAAGTACCGAAGCATAGACCTACACTTAACACTGCTGCATATCTTGTGGATATGATTTCAACACACTATAAACGGTTTCGGTACAAGATACATACAGGTAGTTGCTACTGCTATTATTTTTTGCCACATTAAAGTGCAATGAGCTGCGAAGGTCGTAATGGGTTTATTGCTCCAGTGATTGTACCAATCACTAGCCTGTCACTAGTCAGTATTGCAGTGAAGGTCCAGTGGTCATAATTGTCTTTTGACACCAAGGTTTCCCACAGGGTGGTGTTATTTGACTTTTATTCTTTGTTTAGTATTGGGTAGGTATCTAATGTTTAGAGCAGAATAATGCTAATTTATATGTTGCAGTCTGTTTTGCCAAGATTAGGTTTTCATTAAATGAATCAAATTGACATTCGTTGATATGTCACATTAACCTTTATACTATTTAGTGGACTACACTGGATGGGTTTTCACAATTTTTTGGATAAAATCATTCAAATTTGCAGGGTGGCATAATTAAAATACTTTTGAAAACAGTTTCTTAGATTATGCTTATTCTATTTATGCTATTTATGATACAGAGTGTTCAGAATTAAAAAGTTTTTGAGTTTGAGTTAAGTTTCAAGTAATAGGGAATCTATAGTCAACTCAAATAGAATAGGCGGTTTTATTAATACCAGCTGGCCTATTTAAAAACATTAACTTCAGCTGCAAGTTCTATTTACGTTGAGTATAAATGTTGGACATAATAAATAATCTAGAGCGTCTACACATGTACCAGCCAAAGATAAAATCTTGCTATAACTTTACAAAAACAAACTTATAAAAAAACAACAATGGTAAAAAAGTACTAAATTAAACAATTAGACACATGGAAAAGTAAAATAAATTAAGTGAGCAGTATGAAAAGAAAAAACATGTCCAGTTGCCAATAATGGATCTTATACTATTCCACACTTTTTAAAATAATTTAATCACTCTTTGGTACCACTGAACAATAGAAAACTTCAAGATGTTTAGCATGATTTTTGTAAACCTATCTTAAAAACAGGTTATCAAAAACAATAGAAACCAAAACATAAATTATTATAAAAAATCTTAATTTCATGTCACGTAGGCAACTTTTTACTTGCCAGTCACACTACAATCCACAGTTATATGCATTTAAAAAAATCTTTAATCTTAACAAATCCCCAACAAAATTTAAATCAAAACCCCAGTCACCCAAAATCCTACTACTGTATTATTATTTCATCCAACTCACATTGTTATGAACTTACAAACTTATCAAACATTTGTCAGACATTGTACCAACAATACAATCTTGTACAGTTAATACAGCTGGGACAGAAATACTCCAGATTAATCAGCTGATAACTACAGGTAGAAAGTAGACCACCACATCTGTTTAAGGTTAAGTGAGTCGTCTGCCAAACTTAGTGACTTCTGACAAACTTTCTCAAAACAAGTCTACGTGTATCATTTGTCTTTGTGAGCTGATGCTTGATTGTAAGTTTTGTTAGTTGATTTTATTGATTGCTTGACTACAAATTTTACAATTTTATGATGTTAGATTGCTTTTAGTATGCTGACTTTTCTATGCACAATTAAAAATTTTTCTTTCAGTTTTTAGTAAAATTTTTTTAATAGACCGTAGGGTTTGTGTTATTATTCTTTTCTCTTGACTTGCAAATTGAGTTTGAATCTTGCATTCAAATATTGTTAGAAATTCGTTTTCAAATTGTAATGTCTGTAAACAAATATTTTTAGTTCGACCAAGCGTAAAACTAAAGCTAATGATTGGTATACATATTATTTTAAACTTAAAAAGCATACAGGTAGATGCACAGTATTTAAAAATTAAAATGTCCTGTTTGATTTAGGTAAATTTTTATAAGAAATAAAGAAGAATATTTGGTATGCGTACGCTACTACAGAAAAATCTATAAAATTTGTTTAAAAGGTTAGCTATGTAATTTATGTTTGTTAAAAAAATAAAATAAAACTACCCAGACAAATAAAAGTTTACCCAATGGTTATGAAATATTAGTTTGCATTGCATTTAAAAGTACGGTAATTGAAAATTTATACATCAGTAAACATTGATATACATAGCCTAATTGTAAACAATTCATTGAGTACAAACAAAAATACTTATTTAATATTAGTAAATGTATAGAAAGTATTTACTGCTTTAACTTTGTTGCGAAGGTTAATTAATACACTACATGAAACTTCGTGAACAATAAGGCTTTTTTGTTTTAAGATTTAACCCCACATATTATATACCAAAATGTTCGTCGAGGTGTGTAGTTTTGCAAACTGACCTTACATTTTTGAAAAAGTCATTTGATTGGGAAATATGTGTAGATAACATAAAAAACAAGATCAGCTTTTGAAAAATGATAGGATATTTACAAGAAATGTTGATTATATCAAACTAATAAATACATCGTGAGTATTTTTTTTTTTTTTTTTGTCCTAAGGACGCTAGGCCTGGGATTGTTTTTCACATTACTTCAGGCTAAACCTAGGGGTTGCGGCATTATCACTTAGATAAAATCCATTGGTGACTTGGCGGGGATCGAACCCGGGACCTCAGGGACTGAAGTCCCGCGCTCTAACCACTACGCCAGCTCGCTCATTTCCATAATCTTTTAGTCGACTCTTTTCAGTCATCGGAAATTAAGACTGTTATTCGTTTTAAAATAACTTAAATAACACCTGTAATACTTCGCAATTGCTCAAATTTGATTAACAGGTAGGCCTACACTAGTTTTATATAATTAAAAAAAAGGCTACTTTCTCTCTCCGTTTCTGATATACAATAGAAATATAAATTTTTCTGGAGATCATATTTCTCCGGGTTTTCATGTTTGTAGCAATGTTTTTCCCAATTCCAAAGAGAAACGAAATGAAGAGTTTTAGTATTTGATTTCTTTGGTGATAAAAAATTATGTCCATAAATAAACCTAAAAGAGTGACCTAATTTGTTTTTATGAGGATGATAACCAATGTTGAAACCCTATCCCACTTGGGAATTGTATTTGATAATCTTTATCAGCCATAGTAACACATGGTGATAAGATACAATGGTCCTGCTACTCGTCTATTATGGTATTTCTATGGGAATTCCTCCCCGAATTGTTATGCTGCCGGGAAAACACCATAAGTGTAGGTTATGTTTCATTTGCGGAAAGCCGGTTTGGCTATGCGAACACTCCCCTTTAGGTAAGTTTGTGTGGAGCTAAATCAAAACATTGACTTAAGACTAGAATTGCGGTCTACCTGTAAAAACTTGTTTACTTAAAGATAAGATAACATAGATGAATGAGTCCCTTTTAGACTGTACTATTAAAGTTCTATTTTTACTTTCTCCCTCAATTAGTAGTTTTTTCCCCTCAAAACTTTTGAGTTTGAGTGGTCAAAATTAAATAACCGTTGAAATAATCCTAACCCCAAAAAAGTTGTACAAAGTGATATCTGTCTCTGTGTGTTTGTGTTTATGGGTATGGATGTGCAGCTACAGACTACACCTGTGGTCCGATTTTGAGAAAATTTTGTATGTGGGTACCAATTTATGGTATATCTTGGCATTAAAAACCTTTTTTAAATTCTGATTTTCAACGGAAAAATCAGATTTTCACATAAAACCGGTTTCAATAATTTTGATTTAAATTTAGTATGTAGTGTTACTTTCAACTTCTAAAAAATTTTACAACTTCCATCTTGGTAAAAATTATGGTTCAAACGTTATTGCTATCCTTTGATTTTACCCATATAATATCATAGCTACACCCACTGCTTGCCCATGATAAGGATTATTGAAAGCTAATGGAATAAAGTATTATGTGACAGATCACTGATACTGTTTATTTTTTTTTACTGGAAACAACATTAACTTTGGAATACTCGTCTACTTTAAGGTGCTTTTTTTTGTTTTGTTGTCAAGTGTCTCAAGTCTCAAGTGTTGTTTTTTTATCCTACACATCCTAGGCTTCACCCCAGAACAGTTTTACTTCAGGTCTATAGGATCGTTGATTTATCACATGGCTAAATCTATTGATGATTGGTAGGATTTGAATGTCAAACCTTAGAGCGTGAGGCCGAAAATACACCACTAGACCAGCTTGCCTCTCTATTCAAAGTAGTAATTAAGCTAATCATTGTAACCAATCAAATGTTTTAATGATTTATTTGAAAAAGGGACTATCCACACTGAAACTTTTCAGAATAATTGGAATTTCATTGATAGGAAAATTGAAAAAATTGATACAGAAGGACGTTAATAATCTGGATTAATTTGAACCAAACGCCATCCAGACGACCAAAGTTTCTTGATTATCAAAACTACCCTATAAAAGCAGTTACTATTTGAGTGGAAAACTATTTGAAATTTAGTATTTTCTGGTATTGGTACAGTAAAGGGGCTAAAAGGGAAATGAATAAAAAATACTTTTATGTTTAAGCGCTGTATTTAGTTTATAGCAACATGTTTCTAGAGCGTATAATTAAAAACATCAGACATTACATATTTATTGTGCTTAAAAAAATATGTGTAGTAGGCTTTTGAACGGAGGTAGTGGTTAATTTTTCGGCAGCTATGTCCTTAATTTGTTTTAAGAGCTTTTGAAATTTCGGTCTGGTTTTTCAATGTCCGAATTATAAACGTTCTACTGTAGTTATTTATAACGCTACAAAATGTTATGCCCCACAGAGTCAAATAGTTAGGAAATCCCCCATAAAACCTAATAGCACAACAAATATTGTTACAATGCCCTACCTACCCAATAAAGTCCAATAGTCCAGCACCCAACAAAGTATGGTAGGTATTTATAATTTATAATCCACAACACGTATTAAAAGATAAGATTTACATATAATCTAAAAGTTTTGGCAACAGAATGACTCACGGTCGACCTTGAGGCTTAAGAAATGTGATGAACAATCATACAACACCTGTTTAAACATATGTAGATGTGTAAGAAAGTACAGTAGTGGTTCCGTTCCATCATGGGCTCACATTCCACCTGCTTAACATGCCATTTCCTAGAATCAGGTAAATTGGCCTTTGAACCATCTATATATTAGGTATTTGCCTAAAATGTGTTTACCCAACACTTACTATGAATGGTCACTGCTGACTGTTTGGTTGTAAAAAAAAAATAAATAGTTTTCTCTTAAACAAAACTAAATACTACTGTCCTATAAAATATAAGAACCAAAAAAGAAACATTTACACCTTTAAATTTATTTTATAAACAAGTTTATGTTAATTACATTATTTGCTTTGGAAAACAATAACTAGACTTGTCTCACCATTTAAATCTGATGTTGTTTGAAATTGGTCATTCAAAACGAGATTTTCAGCGCCTTTAAATTATAAAAAACTTGTTTAAGCTTTACTGTTTGGCAAGTAATGTTTTATTAATTCATCAGCTTTAGGCCTACTGTTTTAATTCATCAGTAAAAATTAGTCAACGGTTTTAGGATGTTGTAGCAAAGATTAACACTTTGACTGGCTTTGGACTTCTTTCCCCTAAAATAATTTTTGGAGAGGTTTCCCTTGAAAAATGAGTAATTAGGAAAAGTACTATTTAGGGCTGTTAATAGTCAAAATCTTTGTTCCTGAAATACGAAATGTACCGGATTACGTGGATTTCAGGCCACAAAAATTATTTACGTTTTTGTATTTAGGCTTATATGCTGACAAAAGAAAGCCATAAGAGCCCTCGCCAACCTTGTCCCACCACAGACTTGCAGATTAGCATTCGCAAACCTAGGAATCCTCACAGTGGTGTCTCTCTACATACTTGAAACCATAAAGTATGTGAATGAAATAAACCCCCCAAGAAACCAAGACCTGCACCACTACAACACCCGTCATGGCTCCAAATTTGCACTACCAGTTCACCGAACAACTCTTTGGGAGAAAAAACCTTCCTACACCGGCTGCAAGCTGAGGAACCATCTACCTGACTACCTGAGAGACCTGACTGGCAACAAGCTACACCAGGAGTTGAAGAAGTGGCTTATCGCAAGACCCTTCTACTCAATAAAGGAATTTTATGAAAATTATGGAAATTAACATGTACAATTCACTATTGTATTGACACTATTGTAATTCTTAACGAATTAACAATAAATAATATTGTATTGTATTGTATTGTATTTATAAAGTTTACACCCAACCTCAGGTTTTATGAAAAAAAAATGGAATTAATTCATATTTCAAATTGCTATGGTTGTAAATCAAACAGATTACCCATATTGAAAAAAACCATTTGCTTAGTAGAAAGTGATAATATATATAGATATCAGATAACTAAAATATCTGTGACCTCAACAATATATTATGAGTACTAAGCCTCTTAATGTTTAAGAAACATTTTCAGAAGTTTTTAAAAACTACCAACAAAGTGTGGTATGGATAAAAAATCACAAGAATTTGTTATGTTATATATAATAGAAAATTATTCCTATTCATATTGAGTTGTGTACGATGTTTATTTTTACTATGTTGGCAGCAATGTTGTCGCTGGGCTCGGAGGTCCGTAGTTCTCTTGCTCCTTCTCGCCCCAAGTGTAACAGCATTCTCCATCTGTTTGGGGAGTGGCTGTTTGAGGCAGCCCAAATAGGAACAGAACTCACCAAAACTGGATTTAGTAAGTAGATTTGTTTTTGTTCTTGTCCATGCCGGTGGTGTTTTTCATGGATGTGGTCTGGAGTGGTACGGAATCGCCCCCCCCCCCCACAACCTCAGGAAAGGGGGGGGTCGGGAACTTGTTCAGCTTTATAAGTATACTTTGATACTTTATACTTTATTTTAGATTTGGCGACCACACAAATGTAGGTATTTTAAGCCAAGTATGAATGGAGATGAGTGTAGGATGAGTGGCGTGATCTTGTACTCTTGTTAGTGACTAAGGCCGACATATTCCTTAGACACAGCTGTTAGTCTGTAAGACAGGTGGAATCCGAACCACATTTTTGCCTTGTAATCAACAAATTGGTCTAACTATCAGGATAGTACTGGGGATAGTTGTAGTACTCCCCCATGTTAATCTTCTGTAAGTTAATCAACACCAGGGTACAAAATGGTTCATTTAACACAATTTCCTTTACCAATTTATTGTTTTTATTTCATAGTTTTACTGCAAAATCTGAACAATTTGGTTAAAGTGTGGCCTAATAGGGAGGGGGGTTTTGAGCCCCCCTTAGCCCTTATTGAACCAATGAAGGGGGCATTTTCAAGGTTACCCTGCTTTTATCAATCGCCAAACCACGACACCACTGTCTCTTCATCTGTAATTTTGGCATCGAGTATCATTTTGTAAAAGTAAGTTTGCCGTGGAATGAGTCATAGTAGAAATTAGAAAGTGTTATTTACTTGCACACCGATTAAGTTTTATGGTGAAACATCTCTTCAGTTTGGTAATGACACATCTGTCACACTTATCTCTCTATTATAGGAGAGGGAAGCAGCAAGAGACCCAGTTCTGTGATGCTGGACCACAGCTCTCTTGGCAGCAACAGGAAAGGTTCTCTGTCTCTCTCTCAGCCAGGGTCTCTGTCAGAAGACTCTTTAGATGCACCCAGCTGTCTCAGTATTGATAGGTTTGTGTTTTAAAATACTCTTATCCAATGTGAATATTATGATTTCATACTGATGTTTTTAACATGAGCTTCAGGAATCTCATCTCCCTCAAACTCTCTTTCGTGGTGTCTCCCGAGTGCCGAGTCTCCTCAGCGCCGAGGCCATAAATTACCAAAGGTTCGGCTCAGTGAAGCAGCAGTGATAAGGATTGATACTTTCTTTTTTTAAATGGTACCAATGAGTTTAAGCTGTGGAGCAGTAAAGGCTAGGTTAGGTTAGGTTAGGTTATCATTCAAGATTAAGTGTGAGAATCTCAAAAGTACGAGAGTCGGTAATGAATTACAAAATATTCATTAAATGTTAATTTAGAATTCGAGACGTATCATTTCTGCAAAGAAATTATGTAAAATTAACATCATTCCAGTGCTGATCGGTCTACAATGCTCAATTGGGCACACCCCTTTACAGCACTTCGTTGCTTTTGTGAATTCCAATTCGGCTGTCAAAACTGTTGGATTATGCCACATAGCCTACTTGGCGCTGTGGAGACGCGGCGCTCGTGAGAATCGGCGCTTGGGAGACGGAATCACTCTCTTTTGTTCTTCCATTCACGATTTTTGACGATATTAAGTACTACATGCAAATATAATAAGTAACTTTTGTGCAGCAGGCAATGCGTGAAAATAAGCCATTAAGTAATTTAGTCTTACATTATGTCCAACAGCTAAGGGGCTACACACATGGATTTTAATTGTAAAAATAAGATAAATAATAAACAAAAAATTAATTAATACAGTTAAAAAAAAATTTAATGTTTGATCTACCTAATTCAAAGTTTTTGAATACTACAAGAACACTTTTAGATATTCATGAAAATAATCTTAATATACATTTTGATATTGTCAGGCCTAATTGGAATAGTATTTCTTTCGACCCGAGCTCAAGGTAAATTTAGCAAGGATTGAAAAACACTTCTCGCCCGTGTGATGAACTATATTTTTTTCACATTGGACCATTATTCAAGCAAATCATGTTACGAAAAAAAAAATAATTTTCAAGTCAAGACTCCCTCTCACAACGACTTCTAACTTGTAAGTTTTCAATGTTGCCAATGCAAACAAGCAGCTGTTTAAATAATAAATAAATAAAAAGGCCTTTATTTGCGAGCGAGTTTCATAATCACTTAAATGTTTAAGTGATGTTTAAGTGTGTAACTTAAACATTCACTTAAATGTTTAGTAAGTGATTAAATTATTTTGTCCATTACGATTGTGTTAGTGCACATTATATTATCGATATGTCCAACTATTGACAAGAATGCAATAATAAGCTACAACCAATAAAACAATCAATCTATACTTTTGATACATTGGATTTCTTACAATCAAAGTTAACAACTGACTTCAAAACAGCTGATTTTGAAAAAGAACTCCCTTAGACCCACAACACATGTATTAAAAATGTTTTTTTTTTTGCTGCAGTTTGGACAAAATCCATTTAAGACTCTAAAACACAAAATTTTACTATTAGATACCAAGCTGGTCGAGCGGAAGCTATTGGAGCCTTGTGTCGTATCTTCTGTGCCAAGAAGACAGGAGAAGACATTCTCCCTGTGTACTACGCAAGATTCTATCTGACTCTGCAACAAAGCTTTCGTCATGTTGAGGTTGGTAATAGGAGTTTGGTTGTGGTGCACATTAGCGGTATAATTATTGTTATAATTTAGGCTACTGCACGGTAACGCATTTTTATGGATACTAGCTAATCGTAATTATTAGTTAATACATTTTTTAGTTAATTAACACCCCAGGAAATAATAATAAGCGTAACAAAATTTGCAAACTAAATAAAATCAAATTAACCTTATTTTTGTGCAGAAATGTCTGTATGATGTCTGTATGAAATTCTTAACCTATAAAACTAAACTTATTCTGATAGTAAAAAATACACTTTTTTACATGAGTATAGCTAATTTAACAAAGTTTAAACCATTTTCCACAGTCATTTACTTTTATTTGTTACACTAAACTGAATTCTAAAGATAAAATCACAAAGTTCGATAATAAGAAGTCTAACATTTCAATGACAATGAGTGGTCACAAACGAAAAATAACCTCTCAGAGAAGTTATGAGTGGCTAGTTATGAGGTGGTCATTGTTAAGTCGTTAAGTTGGAGGGAAACAAACATACAACATGTTTTTACAAGTCAGATTAGTTCAGGTAGTAAGGGCAACAAATATTGTACGTCACTCGTCCAAAATTGGTTTAACATACTTGTATGGTGGAACGATGCAAACTCATCTGGTAAACACCTGTTTTCCAGACTAGGAACGTAATGTACTATTGCAAATTAATTTAAAAAGTGTATAATTGTAAATAATTACCCCAGATAACGCGGGAATGTGACGAATGCCTGGCCTGCATCATAGTCAACTCTACAGATCTGCTGCGGCTAGACTTGGACGGAGTGCAGATGCTAGTTCCCAGCATTATTGATGCGTTGGAGATTATACTGCCTGACAAGGACCTTAAACTCAGGTAAGGTTACATATACAGTAGGCTCCTTCTTATCCAGACTCATTGGGACTCCAGATAAAGGGGTTTCCAATTAAACTGAAGTCTCTAAAATGGACAATAACCATTAATATACTGTGATTTAATGTTTGGTACAAACAATCACAACAACTGCAGTTTAGAGTACGCACTGCACTGTATGAACGCAAACCTAAATGCTTACTAAATGACAAAACTACACAAGACCCATTATTCAATGGGTTCAACATGGTTTGTTAATTGTGAAATATAAATCAATAAAAATACAGGAATGAAATATTGTGGCCTGAGTATCATTGACAGGAATATATGGTAAAAATTAGTGATGGTCGGATCCGGATATCGGACTACCGGATCCGCCGGATCCGAGCTAGAACCGGTTCCGGATCGGATCCAAAAAATTCCGGATCTTGGGCTGGATCTGGTTTTGATGGATCCGATTTTTTCAAATTTTTCACCGATTTTTTCCTAACACAAAGCTGTCTGTATCACTGTACAACCCCGATTTTTTTACCAACACAAAGCTGTCTGTATCACTGTACAACACCGATTTTTTTACTAACACAAAGCTGTCTGTATCACTCTACAACCCCGAATGTTTTTACTAGCATAAAGCTGTCTGTATCACTGTACAACCCCGATTTGTTTACTAAACACAAAGCTGTCTGTATCACTGTACAACCCCGATTTTTTACCAACACAAAGCTGTCTGTATCACTGTACAACACCGATTTTTTTACTAACACAAAGCTGTCTGTATCACTCTACAACCCCGAATGTTTTTACTAGCACAAAGCTGTCTGTATCACTGTACAACCCCGATTTGTTTACTAAACACAAAGCTGTCTGTATAACTCTACAACCCCGAATGTTTTTACTAGCACAAAGCTGTCTGTATCACTGTACAACCCCGATTTGTTTACTAAACACAAAGCTGTCTGTATCACTGTACAACACCGATTTTTTTACTAACACAAAGCTGTCTGTATCACTCTACAACTCCGAATGTTTTACTAGCACAAAGCTGTCTGTATCACTGTACAACCCCGATTTGTTTACTAAACACAAAGCTGTCTGTATCCATGTACAAGCCCGTTTTTCCCCGAGTGTTTGTCTCTTGATGCACACAACTTATATGGCAAGGCCATGTCTCGATGTTTGTATCTAGATGCAAATAACTTGTATGGCAAGGCCACGTCTCAGTGCTTGCCTCTTGATGCAAATAACTTATATGGCAATGCCATGTCTCAGCGTTTGTCTCTTGATGCAAATAACTTATATGGCAAGGCCATGTCTCAGTGTTTGTCTTTTGATGCAAATAACTTATATGGCAAGGCCATGACTCAGTGTTTGTCTTTTGATGCAAATAACTTATATGGCAAGGCCATGACTCAGTGTTTGTCTTTTGATGCAAATAACTTATATGGCAAGGCCATGACTCACTATTTGTCTCTTGATGCAAATAACTTATATAGCAAGGTTATGACTCAGTGTTTGTCTTTTGATGCAAATAAATAACATATATGGCAATGGCATGTATCTTTCCGAACTGAATCCGACCCGATTTTTCGGATATCTTCACACCTCTAGTTTTTAGTTTTGTACCTGGATGATAAGCTAACGGCCTATAATTTCGTCTCAAAAATATCCCGTTAGTTTTTTAATCTCAACCGATGCTTCGTGATAAAAAATTATTAAAGAATGATTTAAATTGGCATTCTGTTAATTACATTTTTTTTAACCCGCCCTTATGACAGTGTGTATCTGGATCCGGATCCGAAGATCCGAAGATCCGGATCCAAATTTTTCAAGATCCGGATCCGGATCCGGTACCGACATTTTCTTGGATCCGCCCATCACTAGTAAAAATTCCAACATTTTTAATCCAAATGATGACGTACCTTTTTGTATATTTGTCATTTTGTTTCAGGTCTCCATCCATATCTAAGGTGGAACTTAGAAGAGCTTCGATACAAATTTTACTCTCTATGTTGGCGCTTCCTTTACATTTCCAGGTACAAATTTAACGTTTGTAAAAAGAATACTAAATCAATTAGGCTTGATTTCTCCAAATAAAACTTTCATTACTTAAACCCTATCAAAGGAAAACAAATGTTTCAAATCACTGAACAGCTTTAGAAGAATGTAAGACTCTTAGTTGTAGGTAAATGTATATGTAAATCAGATCAAACTGCAAGTAGTGTTGTGTACGCCTTTGAATGCTTTAATAAATAATAAGGAAATTTTTGCAAATTTTATCTTTAAGAAGCAATTGACTCTCTTTCTCTGTCACACTGATCAGGTAGCCTAATTTTATGAATATGGAACAAGTATGTACTTTTTGAATTACCTAAAAGCACAAAAAATATGTCAAATAACACTTGTAATAATATATTTACTTACACTTATACTGTTTACTCACAAGACGGTAAATACAAAAGATGGTAAATGGTGATCGATTTTGATTGGACACTCCAATCATCATCAGACCCAATAGGAGAATACAAAGCGATCACCACTTACCCTCTTATATATGTATTTACCGTCTTTTAAGTAAACAGTATAAGTGTAAATATATTATTACAAATGTTATTTGACATATTTTTTCTACTTTCAGGTAATTTAATAACATGTACAATGCTGATCAAGGAGTTATTTCCTTGTTGAATTGAAATTCTTTGAGACGAGATCCAGACCAGAAGACCAGAAAAGTATAAATATCACTTTCTAAAGAAGGTCTTCTGACAAACTTACTCGTCAACACTTGTTGAAGTTGAGATACAATATTAACACGTTGTAATGATCATTTATGTGTCTAGAACCTGGTCATCAAGGATCTCACTCCGTCGCAGACCCAAGAAAGATCACCGTTGACATTCTCTCAACTCAAACCTCGACTGATGAACCTCCTCATTAATGCTCTCCTGGTTGAGGCAGACCCTCAGAACACACATATGCTGCTAGGTATGTAGGACAACTTATTTCAATTACCGAGGACTTGAAGTTTCTTTGCCTAGTGAGTGTTTTTAGAGTTTAACGTGTTCCATTGCTATGTTTTTTGCAAAGGATAACTGTTCTAATTTTAGACTATGGACTTTACCTACGCTAAATGTTTTGGTTTTGGGACTTAACAAAATGAGAAGCAGTTGTTATGGAACAAAGTAACATCTTATCATTAGGGAGAAATTATTAAAAAGTACTCAAATTTAAAATGCAATATTAAGTTTAATACAAAAATGGAAATAAAAAAATTGGATAGCTTAATTCAGTTTTACTTATAGTGCATTCTACGGAATTCATTGTGCAAATACTGCAAATGCTATAATTTATAGCAGTTGAACTGTTATAACGAGCGATTGAAATAACACTGATCGTGTCTTCCTATTAACGGCGAGTCTAATGGAACCTGTCTCTAGAGTTCAGTTACTTAGGACTAGCCCAGGCCTTAAACCATTGTCCAGTCCGCAGAAAGACTTTGGAAGTTCAAAGAGAGTTAGGAGACAGGTTCCATCATACAGACTGTAGTACCTTGGTAATACAAATATTTTTATAACAGGCAAAGGGGTAAAATAACGCTATCTATCAACAGCGAGCATCACGAAATAGTACTTAGGTAATAGGTTACTGACAATACATTTATTTTAGTAACGTCGTCTAAACTGTTAAAAAATGTGAGTAAAGTAACGCTGATCAAGTCATTCTCGGTGTAACAACCATGAAGGGGAAGTAATAAGTGACAAAAATAATAGTATTATTCTACTATCAAAATCTACGTTCCTGACTAGTGACTATTATCTCAAAGTAACAATATTTCCCAGTCTCTAAATGTTACGGTTTCATTCACCTCCAGGTGGTCTAATGCTGAGTGTGCAGGACTCGGCTTTGTTCGAAGCGATGGATCAAGTAACGCAACCAGATGCTGCCTCCAGCGACTCAACATCCAATGTGTTATCATCAGGTAATCAGCTGTTTTTTGTGCTTATTTACGTTTTTGTTGTGTTTCTGTGTGTTTTATGCACTTTTCTATTACAAAAGCCAAAGTTTTTCATCAACGTAAAAGGTAAATCTTAAAAGTTTTCCTGCTTAATTAGTTGTTCTAATCAAATTGTTTATTTCCAAATTATTATTGATTTATTCATACTTTTTAATCGAGTTAAAATTTTTTATGTGTCCTCAAAACTTAATTTTTTTCATATTATTGTAATTTTATTTGTGCTGTTTTTTCATTTTGAGTTCCTTACAAAAATTATTCTTGTTTATAATAATTATTTTTATTGCTATGTATTTTTTAAAATTCATTGTCTCCTGTGAAATAATTGACTTTCTATTGATTAATGTATAGTATGACTGCAAAAGACATTGAGTAATATAAATCCTAATTGCAACATTAGCTAACATGTATTACATTTACAGTAACAAACTAAGTTGAGTTAGTAGTTTTTTGAACTAATGTAACAGTTAATTGAGTAACACAATAAAACATATACTTTTGTATATTGCGATCCACACAACATTTTTTTGTCTTATTGTTTGTTATAGGTTGATTTTTACTTTATGATTTAACTGTTTATTTTGTTTACTTAGTTAATTTTTTGTTCTGCCCAAACAAGTCATATACAAATAAACAATGTAAAATAATCTTGTCATTAAAAACCCTAGGAGTGGCGAGACCGATTTTCAGTATGTGCTTTGTGGAGTGGCACGCTCATTTTGATGAATTTGTAAGGGAGTTCTTCAAAAATCTGTATAAAATTAGTATGTAGAGATAAACTATTGAACCGTATATTCATTTTGTTCGTATTAGTCAGTAGAATTCAAAAATGGTAATACAAACCAATTTTAGAAAGGTAGATTTTTATAAAAAAGTAAAAAAAAAGAAAATTTATAAATTTTTAAAATTTTATTTCAAAAGCAAACACGTGTCACATGTAACATAATTTTTTATTGCACAATTCAAAATATGCATTTTGTTCAGAATTTATTCCTCTACATAGACATATCATAATATACACAAAATAATTATTTTTATAGATTTACTAGCAATAATACGGAAAAATTGGAAAACGTCAATTTCTTCAACTACACGTTGATAGATCCACAAATGCCCTCTACTAATAAATCAATATGATAAAACCATACATTTTTTGAAGCCAATAATAACTTATCATTCTAATATAAGAATAACTAAATAAGATAAGTAATAGAATATTGGTTTTCACAAAAGCAAAAATGTAAACAAAACAACTGATCAGCTGTTATAGCCCACAAAACTTCACTAACTTTTTATCCTATTGTGGATCACTCATGTATAAATATTTATGCAAAATAATGCATAAATATTTCGCCTAATACAAAATAAAAACCTAAAACGAACATTACACTGTAAAATTAGGGATAAAACCCACACTACGTCTTTGTTACCGGACAAAAACTCACGACGACGCCGCCATTTTAGGTTAGACGATGACAAGTGTTCTGTTCCTTTAGCTTTGAAAAATCAAAAGCTTCTATTTGTGTGACCAGCCTAACAACATTGAATTCTACTGTCCTTCGTCTACAAGAGCATATATAAAACAACGTTTTTGTACTTTTCACATTGTATATATATGCGATTTAGAAATCGACATTTTATGTCGATCCGCCACATGAACAATACGTAAAAATAGGCTATTTACAAAAATTTTTCATCAGCTGTTGGAATGTATTATGACGTTATACTTTATACAGAATAAAAGATTTCTTCATGCTTTTTACAGTGGTACCACTTGCTTTTGTCACAGACAAAAATTACGTCTGCTATTTATTTTTGAAATGACTCATCATTTACGATTGCGCAACAAAACATGGCGTTCGCGAGTTCGCGCGTATTTTTCGTTTAAATGTAACTTATTATAAGATCGATGTATTTATGTTATAAGGTTTATTCTTATAATAAAATGAAACTTCTGAATCTTATCTTTCCATTGGTATAAGAGTTATGTCATTTCACCGAATTTAAATGTGCTTAACATGCAACTGAAAAAAACGTTACATAAATCGACATATTCTGTCGCCCGCCACTCCAGCGGCACATTTTGAAATCGACATTTTCTGTCGATCTGCCACTCCTAGGGTTAATGTTAAGATTTCAAAAAAGTGTTCAAATGATTTTGAAAATTCCCCTCCCTCCAAAAATATGAAATTCCCCATGCATTCAATATATTTTATGATGAAACTTGCTGTTGAAATAATAATAGTGTTTTGGGCGTTTTCCCCCAATTGTGACATTAGGTTTCAAATTTAAATTCTAAGACACTTATCTTAACTGAAAAGAAAAACTACTCAACAATATTTTAAATATTAAACAATCTTTTATTGAATAAAAATATGAAATATTTAATCAAGACAAACAAATAATTTATCTGTAAAACGTAATGTATTTGCCTTAAGTCACAGAAAAAATTCAAGTTAACCTAATACAACTCTCTCCATATTGGTTAACAAATTTAACTTTTCCATTAATTTGTCTAGTGATTGTTTTGTGAGAAATTCTTTTGGCCAACCAAAATTAAATTTATTTTGAACATACCTAAACCAACATTTAATTTTTATCATAAGGTAATGCTTTGCCAAATATTTATTTGGCAGCTATTATCTTAATATTGATTTACTAAGGTCCTACTGAAACGGAGTTATAGATATAAAATGTGTTATTTCATTTACCACACAATCTTTCCTCTATTTCCTCTATAAAACACAGTTACTCCCTCTTATATCTCAACCCTAAACTAGTCAAGTTTATTTTGTTTCACCTAACGTTTGGGCAGGACTGTTTTGTTTTTTGCTTTGTCCGCTAAACCTGTTTTGGATCTCCACTAGACACTATGAGCTCCATGGGAGATTCTTCAGTTTTGGACGAGTGGGATTCCACTAATATTACAGTCGGAGACTCGGAATTGTTTGGAATCACCTCTATTCATCCTCTAAACAAAAGTAATCGCTTATATCCGCTTGATTTTGGTGGTGGGCTTTGCCTGAAATGGTGGAAGATTGTTGTGAAGAAGGTGTCTGGGATTGGCTTTGCATGTTTTAATTATAACTGATGTAAAATGATTATGTATTAGGAAGCCGCTGCATGATCTACAGCTGAGTGCATGTAAATACTGTTAACCCTAGAAAGGTATCGTCACAGCATGATGCTAAGGGTATCAATACGTGAATTTAACGTACTGCCGGCCGTTTTAATATACACAAGCCAGCCATTTTACTACACACAAAGGGTATTGACACGTAAGTTTGACGTATACGTTCCAAGAAACTGACTAGCAAGTGCATAACACTACGTAGTGTAGAAACACTACGACCGAACCAAGGCAGCCATCGCAAGGCAAATGACTGCTGAGAGCACTGCCGGAAGGAGGGTATTGTCGGTTGAGGGGGTGGTGGGTGAGACACTAAAAATAACTCGTACTACGTCAAATTTATGTGTGATATCCATCTAGGGTTAAGATACTTTTCAAGAACGCAAATTAGTTTATCGGTTTTTGGTAAATAATATCAACTTAACTTACAATTTTGGTTATAATACTATGCTCAATCTTTTAACCCTGACACCGTAATAATTTTTTATTTCTCTATTTAATTGATTTTTTAAAGTTATGTCTTTGATAACATATCCATTTTAACACGATATGTCAATTTTTTACCAAAATAAAAGCCCAAAAGGAAAATTGGCCTCCTTCTCTTTACTGGTAAAAAAAGCAAATAGGTGTTATGTGCAATCCTTACTAAACTCACTAATGACATCAACTTCTACCCATGCTGGACACTGTTTATTTAAGGATGGTCCTGTAGACCAGCTAAACCACACGTTAGTAAGCTCAATATGGATAGCACATATACGGGATTCAAACTCACACACGTCGAAAGACCTCAATGCTACACTCATCAACGCAACGCCTTAGCCAACTGAGCTACCATGCCATTGTCAGCCTGTCTGCGGTTAGCAGTCTGGCTACCTTGCTGCAAAATGTGGTGATTGGCTACTCACATGAGTCGTAGTCAATTATAGTCCTCGCCACCATAAGTTGAGGCAGCCCAAGGCCGCACGGCGTGTATCTAGTGCGGCCTTGGGCTGCCTCAACTTAGCGTGGCAAGGACTATAGTTGATTGAATAGGTGATTCATAATATCAAGTCTGTGTATTACTTTGATAATTACAATTCTGCAAGCTATATTCTTTAAATAATTGTTTATTTTTTCTTATTGGAATAAATTTGTAACCATCAAATTTGGTAAAACTATCATGAGAGTGTGTTTAGTCAATGGTATCCTGACTTAACATTTGTTCTATGTTGTCAAATAAACATATTTTCAACAAAACTTTATTTTGCTTTTCAAACACGTTTTTAAAGACACTTTAAAATTTGGGATGCATGGATTTATTATGCATGATTTTTATATTATACATGCATGTTCGCTTATTATCTTTTTACTGGTGATCCGTTTTATCATAGGGGTCTCAGGATAGTTTGGTTATTATAGTTATAAATGCTTTAGTAGTAATCTATTTAAAATAATAAATTCATTACTATTTAAGAATCAATGTTGGTTGCAATTAGTACAGAAATATAAAATTTAAAATTTTTGACATAAAAAAATAACTCAAATCACAGTCTGTTCTTCGCATCCTCCGTATTATGTCTAAGCTCTATAAACATGATCAAATGCTTCAGTTAGAGCCTCAATTGGTTCAATGATGTGTGATACTGGCTAAATTGTACTACAGGGTTTGCCATTTTTTTATGATATCATCATGATCATTTTATCGGTATGATGTTACACAATCAGTATAGTAAGAGGTTATCATAATTTTTTACCTCGTAAAAGCTTAAAGATTTCCAAAATTTGTTTATTTCAAAAATTAAAAATTTATCAACTTTTTGTCTTAATTTTTTTTGAATTTTCTGTTGGATGATCTGAAATTAAGGAAAACATCTTCTACATCATTATGTACTCATTATAAATTCTTAGTAACGTGAGTTCCCATTCATGATAGCCTATTTGACCATATTTCAGTATCATATTTTCAGGTTAATAAAAAAAAACCTGAAGAGAAAAAAATTAAATTTTGTTCATTATAACTTTTTATGGAGGCACAACTTAAATATTGATTCAAGATTCAATGTTAACGTTAAGTTTACTCTAAAAAATAAGCAAATTTTAATCAAGCTTACTAAAATCAAAATCTAACTAAAACTATTACTATAGTTAACTTATTGATATTTTGCAGTAACACGTATCACAAACTTCTCATTGATCAATAATCTTTTATTGAAATCTTTACCATTAGTAAGATATTTTTAGTGAGTAGCGTATGGACCTTTTACCAGTATACCCTAAATACTCAGTAAGTAACCTAACAAAACAATAACTTACAAAGGTAAAACCCATGATCAGTTTATATTTCAGATTACTGACGTTAAAACCTAAAAAAGACTTGTGTTGTCTGTGGGAAATACTTTTTCATCACTATCCTACTTAGCTTCTTAACAGCATTATATGTATGTATTGGTGCTACAGTATTATACAATTAAATGAATATTAAATCAGTCTTGGATTTTGCCTTATGATGACCATTGAGTGGTTGGTCAAAAACCCATGACCAATGTTAAATCTATTATACATTTATTTACTGTCTTTAAACAAATCTTATCAGTGTAAACATTTAAGTAGTGTTAGGAGACGTTGTGTACGTTATCTGTATATTCAATTCAATAAAGTTGCATTTTTCTGGTCTAGACTCGGCCAACGCACTGTTTGTAAGGGCTACATGTCTGGTGTGTCATCGTCTCATCTCCTCATGGAAGACGGACTTGAACGTCTCACTCGCTGCTCTCGAACTGTTGGCTGGCCTGGCTCGCACAAACATCAGAGAAACCGGTGAGGAATATCGAAACGATACATTCCAGGCCAATATTTTTTCCCATTGTCCATAGTAATAGTTTGATAGCTGATCTTTTTGTTTAAAAATTAGGATACAACTTAATGCATATATTTAAGACATCTTTGTCTTTATAGAAAGTAGCAAAAATTGTTATCAATCATTTATGAGATTGCCAAGAGAAGTATGGTAAAGAGGAAACATTCAATGGTACACTTAAGTGGTGTCTAGCACAGTCACTGGTGTCTAGGGAAATCCAACACCGCCCCCTCGTCCTCATGTACTACTACGCTCACAGTAAAGGAATACACTGTGCCCTGAGCAATAGGGATTTCCGCACAGTGATCGCGTGATGGCGCTTCCTTGCTCGTCACATGTTTATAATAAACTGTCCACACAACATACTAGAGCTGAAAGCGCACAATTGTTTTATTAGCATGTTTCCCCTGCACTTAACTTCTATGTGGAGATACTAAGACTAAATACCAAAATGGATTTTTTTAAAATCTTTTAGTGGCTTTGAGATATTATTTTTAGTTTTGATACATCCCTGGTATTAACCTTAAACATTAACTTTTCAATTTATTTCATGCAGCAAGGAAACTGACAGGTAAATACAAACACTGTTTTTTCTTTCACGTAGCAATATGTTCATTAATTATTTTTATTTATTATTGTTTGCATATTTTTTACTTAATTTTAAAACAATCTACTATTTTTAGTTTGGTAGGCCTCTCCCACATAGCTTGCAACAGACAGAATATGTACTCATCATGAGTTGCTCCCTAGACTTGAAACGGGATTCAAACCCTCAACCTACAGTGCGGTTCCAATTTTCATCGTTTGTCCTTTGACCAGATTTAAAAGTCCACCGCACAGGTTAACAAAAAAAAAAAAAACAAAAAAAAACCAAGTGTAGTAGTTGTAACAGATGTTTCGCTTAAGCGCATATAATAGTTTTGTTCATCGCCTTTTAACCATACCATTGAACACTGAAGATTACGAAACCGAAAGAAACATCTTAAAGCACATCGCAACATCCAACGGATACAGTCCTGTTATGATTGATAATTTAATTAAAAAACACCGCAAGAAATTGAACAATCCTCCCACTCGAATTCCACAAAATAAACGTGAGTTTGTTTCAGCAGAATTTGGCGAACAATTGCCTCTAACAATAAAAAATGAGATGAAAAAACATGGAAAAATAGTATCCTTCAGAACCTCAAACAAATTAGATAAGCTTATAAACACTAAAGGATCAGGTGGTGATGTTAACAAGAGAACCGGAGTATATAAATTATCCTGTAACGACTGCAGTAAATTTTACATAGGCCAAACAGGGCGGTCCTTCGAGAAAAGATTCAAAGAACACATTCCAAAAGCCTCCAAGGTGCAAAAATCTAATTATGCCGAACATCTGGTACTAAACAACCACAACATACTAATTTGGAAACAAACTTAAAACCATTGCACATTTGTAACAAAGGCAGGATCATGACAGCTCTGGAACAGTTTGAAATTTATAAAGCCGCAAAAAACAATCCCCAGGACATATTAAATGACAAAAGCACTCTGCAAACTAATATTCTATTTGAATCACTCATAAAGTTGGACAAGGACCGTGATAAAGGCGGCCAGGGGACAAAGTTCAGCTCCTGAACCAGTTGAGACTCGGCACCCGTCATGTGCACACCAGTGTCTGTAGGCCTACAGTTTTTGTCCCTGTTTTTTAAATTTTAAATGTTTTGTGTATTTTTTTGTAAACTTTGACGCTACCAATTCAAGAATGGTTTAAGTGCTTCAAGTTTGTGACCTGATGATGATGTGAATACATCGAAACGTGCGTAGTCCAATACAGGAACAGAGGAATCACGAGGCAGTTACAGGTATTTTAACCTTTTTACAATATTATTGTCAACGTGATTCGGAATAAACAACACAACATGAAGTTAAGTTGGAAGTTTTGGTTATGTTATTCTTGGGATATTTTGGACTTTTGAGCTGAAATGGTTGCTTACGTTTTTGTAGGAGCTTGTAAACAAACTTACGGAAAACTGAAAACAAATGTTTACACATTGTACTGTTTCAAAAAGACGATAAATATTCATTAAAGGTGGATCCAATCCTCATCAGACCCAATGGGGGAATGACAAGAATCTGGATGGCTTGTACTTATGTCCTATTGGCTACTGAAAGTTCTAGGCAGAAAGTTTCTTTAATTACAACTGGAGTAAAAATTTACTTGTTTATTATTAACTTATTTCACTTTTTACATTTTTACTCATAAATAAACAATCCTTCCCAAGCGTTCATCAAATTTCCTTTCTAACTTTTAAAATAAATGGATTCTCCTCCATTTTCCTAAATAAGTGGCCCTTTTGTAACATTTGATGTGCAAAATTTTACCTCCCTGGTTTGTTGTGTCTCTAAGCAGATGGTTTTTGAAACGTTTAACAAAGTTCACAGTTGACCGATGTACAAGGTATCACAATCCTTACAATTTATTTTGTAGGGGAAGGATGGATTTTGTTACATCTACATATCTATTTGTGGATGCAGTATTTTACTCAAGATAGGATGATACTCCAAACTTCTTGAATTTGTTAGCAATCCTTTGTGCTTTGGTACTCGTGTAACTGAATGTAGCATCCTTATCTGGTCTATCCATAACTTATTCTGTTTATCCATTTTTGTCTTGTCTTTCTTGTGAGGTCTTATATTGTTTTGAGTCAATATCCGTTAACTTGTGCGCTCTTCTTGATTTCAATTCTTTTCTCCTATTGGGTTCGTGGGTTTTTCATATTTTTTTCTATATTTGGACAGTTAATTTTGTCCTACAGATGCGCTCGAGTGCAAGAGAGCGGTCAAGTGGTTGTGTGACTACATAGTGTTCCAGTGCGGACGTCCACCCCCGGGACACAGCAAGGATCTACACTCCACCATCGTGGCAGCCTTCCAAACAGCCGAGGTGTGGCTGGTCACCCACCCCACACTGCTCAATGACAAAGAGACGCTGCACACCGTGCTGGAGGTGGTGGAGCTCGGCATATCCGGCACCAAGAGTCAGGTAAAAATATTTATTTGGCCAAGCACATTGATAATTAGTAGAAAAACTAGCCCATAGACAATGTATGTGATGAATAGATTTCGGTTGGTTAATACTAATTAAATTAGCTCTCCAATTTTACCTAGGAGCCCTCATATCGTTTTAGGCTAAACTATGACGAATAATTGTCGCACAGAGGGTTTTTATTTGTCCTAGGACGCTAGGCACGAGCCCGGAATTGTTTTTCACATTACTTCAGGCTAGACCTCGAGGTTATGGCATCATCACTTAGATAAAATCCATTGGTGATTTGGCAGGATTTGAACCCGGGACCCCAGGAACCGGAGTCCCGCGCTCTAACCACTAGACCGCTCCCCGGCGCACAGGGGTGGGAACTGGTTAAGTTATAATAGTAGGGGATGCAGCAAAGAACACAGTGCTGGTGAAGGTTTGAACAAGCTCATTTGGTCGCACGGAGTTGTAGACCGTAATTTACAGTCAGCCCCTATCATACTAGCGTTAAACGTTTAGGACAACACTTTAGTACTGACTGGCACTTTGTACACTATACTTTAAATTTTCAGGGCAAGCCGGGAGAACCACTGAAGATGAAAGATGAAAAAGAGTTGAAGCCAGTGTCAATGAGGGTCCGGGATGCTGCGGAGTCTTTGTTGACTGTTGTCTTGGAACAGGTAAATAATTATTAGTTAGTTCATCAGTAGAATCAATAATCAAGATATGCAAGCTTGTGACAAAGTAACCAATGAGCTTAGAACGACAAAGAATTAAAAAAATAATTATGGAATTAAATTAATATTAGGAACTTTTTTGACAAGAAACATCAGTTGCAAGAAACTGCAGTGAACAATTTACGTACAAAGTTTGGGGTAATTGCTGAAAAGTATGAGGTGCATTACAAAAGCTACGAGTGTTAGCTACATCTGTATAGAATTTCAACGGCAACAATGACAAAAAATTACAGGGAATTATCTGAAATGGCTGCAGTGTGCAAGATTTTCTTAATTTTTATCACACACTAGATTGAAGATGTTACCACCCTGATCCCTGTTGGGATTCTACACTGTAATATTGGTGTCTCGTCCCTAGGTGGGCTACTTCCCAGCAGCCTGTGGGGCAGAGTCCCTGTCCTGTCTGCTAGACGAGGTGTTGCTAGTCAAACATTGCAACTCATGGAGCGGCGAGGCCCTCACCCAAGTGTCTGCTGTGGCCAAGTTCCGCTACTTTGTGGTGGAGAATTCCACTGTGCTGGCTTTGCTAGAGGAGCCTTTGGGAAATGATCAAGGTCGGTACTTTTTATTAGTTTGTGTGTGATTCATAAAACTTAAATAAGTTTAATTTAGTCAGCAGAGTAATTTAATTTGGGAATCACAGATTTTGAATACCAGTCATTTGAAGCTCAATGTGTCTATAGACAAATTTTTTGTTATTAACATCTACCTCAGAATTGCAGAATTCAGTCAACCAATCAGCCTATGTTCAGATTAGTAGCATCTAGAAATAGGTTTAAGACCAAATGCCAATAATTTCCTGAAAGTGTTCTTTACACACTATGATGGTTTAATACAACACCTAAAGTAAAAATGTTATATCCTAAAAAAGTCTCCACCATTATTAATGGATAGCTGGATGATGGAATTGGATAAGGTTGGTGTTTTCGTTATCCATCAACATCCAAAAGTATGTTTGGATCTGTGTAGTATTTTTATGCAAAATCTGTTAGCTCTGGAGGTATTTTGATAACACTTGAATAGGTGTCCATGTCCAATTATTTTCTCTCAAATTGGCAAACATCAAAACCACCTAGTCAGTATCAATTATCAATTATATCAATTATTTAAGATGGGGAGGGGACGCCACTATTGTATTTTATTGTATTGTATTTTAACCCAAATGTGAGCGAAGGATGAGTGTAGTAGGCTAACTAAGAGGGGTATCTGATGACAGACCCGCAGCCAACCATCACTGTGCTGATCAGAGGAGGGTTCGGCCGACACGCCTGGACTCTACAGCTTCGTCACTTGCCTCGACACCGTAGTGGCACCAAGTACCAGCACACACCCAACCCTGGGCGACCTGTACCCTTGGAGGAACTACCCTCCAGGCAGCAACCCAAACACAAGTACTTCCCTGACAGCGTGGACAGGATACCTCAGTGTAGGGCGTGAGTGTTGAAGAATTTTGGAGAAATATTTCCAAGTTGGGAGATTTACTAAAAGCCTAACATATGACCTTTGTATTGCATTATACAATAGAATCCTACTGATCTAAACTAATTGGGGTTGAATGGAACCCTATATAACAGCAGATCTGTAACATTCTTTGGCATTATGTAATGTGTTTTGTCATTAGAGAAAAATCTTTTGAAAATCTTAACTGGAAAATCTACTTAATTACTCACTACTTTCACCAACCTTTGATAGTGCAAGTAGACTTTTGACTATCTTTGTTGAACCTGAAGCCTGTCTAGTGTGTGTTTTATGTCGTTGTATGCCAAGTACAGTTAGGTGTTCTGCTGCTGACATTGATTGGATGCTGCCAGTAGACTTCTCCTATTGAAAAATCCTAAAATGTGTTTGATCATAGGAAGTGAGGCTTCCACAGTCACAATTACTAACACAAAGTCCTTGGTCTTCTAAGACCGTGTTGGAAAACTAGGAGAAACACTAGTTGCTGATGTTTCGGCTTCGTTGCATATAGCCATCTTCAGAGCTGGTGACAGGCACTAACTGATGGCTATATGCAACGAAGCCGAAACGTCAGCAACTAGTGTTTCTCCTAGTTTTCCAATGCGGTCGTACCCAGAAGACCAAGGACCTAATGTGTTTGATGTCCAAGTAGCTTAGTTCCCTTTCCCACTCATCCTACACTCACCTCCATTCATACTTGGCTTAAAATACCTACTTTCGAATGGTCCCCATTTCATAATAAAGTGTTAAAGTATTAAAAAGTTGCTCATAGTCTGAATTCTTTCAATATTTTACTTTTCTTTTTAGAAATAATAAGCAACAGTAAGTTTTACAACAGTTTTTAACAGCAAAATAGTTTTAAAATTGATAAAATAAGAAAAGATAAAGATATGTTTTTTACCGGACAGAAATATGCCTTAAAATACTTCAGCCGTTGTGCCTTACCCAATCTTTAACTGATGCTTCAGGATGAAAAATCTATCAGAGGGTATGTTAAATCCATGCTTCTGTACACCGTTACTGTTTTAGGGACAAGTCAATCCCAGACCTAGGAGCCATGCTGCTGGAAGACCCCAGCGGAGAACTGAGTGAACTCTCACGACTGCTGGAGTCTCAGATACAGCTGGAGAAGGGGGAGAGTGCTGCCCCCTCCCCTCCTGGACCACCCCTGGGAGAGTGTACCCCTCCCCCACCCTGCCACGACTTCCAGACTGCCAGGCTCTTCCTGTCACACTTCGGACTGTTGTCAAGACTTGACAACAATCAGGTGACTAAATACTAGTTGGAATACTAGTCGCTTCAGGCGTGCTAAAAGGGAATGAAGACGCAGAAAGGACAATACCGTTTAAGAGTTTTTTTGTAGAGGTTTAGATTGCAAGCAAACTTTATCACCACTTTATTTTTACTGCCAAATGGATTCAGTTCCAGGCATGACCTTCATATCAAAGAAGGGGTAAATAATGTAGTTTATGGGTGAATATTATTTTACACAGCTTAGGGGCTACAACGAGGTTTCAAAATACTAGTTGCTTCAGCTGTTGTGATTTAATTGGGAGGAAACAGAGACTGGTGTGTTTCTTCACCAAAGTTATCTCTGTACAAGTTACGATGACTTCAGGTTGCAAGCACCAATCTATTTTCTTAAGAGTTTTTTTCAGTCTCAGCCCAAGAAGAATCCAGCAAACAAAGAAATTGTAAGTAATGGAACAAATTATTATTGAATCTTATTTTATTAAGTTTAGTAGCAGCACTTGAACAGTTAAATGTTTTATAGATCTAGCAATCTGTTAATCTGTAATTTGTTGATAAAGCTGTTGAAGTCATGTACCATAAGTACATAGAAACGTGTCCATTTCATCCTGGGTTTGGGCATCAAAAAGGCTATATTTCCCTTAACAGTTTCACCTTTCACCGTCTGCCAGATCTCACCCCCCCCTCTTCACATCCATTATCACTTCATCTCTACGTTCTTTTCAAGTTTCCATTTATTCCCCTTCCCTGTATCATTTCATTGACTTCAATTAACTATGACTTCTCTCTTGCATTCTTCTCCAATGTTCAAACTTCCAACCATCAAAATCCTGCTTGTTCTACTCTCCCTCTTAAACTGAAAGCCACGACAACTTCGATCCCTTTATCACCCTGACTAGCATATTAGGCTTTGATTCACAATTCCAGCCAATTATTGTATACTGATGTTTAATGCTCTCTACTCCCCATAGGAGCCAGGACTACCGCCATTGGTCGCCCTGGACACGAGTCACCCGTCCTTCTGTCAGGACTTAGAGGCCCTTGACAACATAGGCAGCCGTACAGCTAACACCTGTCATGTATTCTATGTCAGAGCTGGCCAGAAACAACCTGAACACATTCTGAACAATGTGGTAAGTCCACGACAGGAAATAGGATAAATATACATTCCAGTTATTCCCATCCCAAGATTGGATGTTGAATAGGCTTCTCCGTCTCCACCTATCCCTCAACAGCTTTTATCCAATACAGTAGACTCTCGCTCATCCGGATCGGCCTTGTCCGGACTCCCGGTAGTCCGGATCGGCAATCGTGATTTTTTTTTAGTAGCACAGTACAGTAGAAGTCCGATTATCCAAGCAAAACGGGACCGAGACTACCTTGAATAGTGAAAAAATCGGATAACACGGCGGTACAAATTATTACCAGTGGAAGTGCATATGCCCGGCTATCATTACTGTGGACCTGGAACTAAATTGAAAAAAACGGCTATATACAGTACTGTGTATTTGCTCGACTCTTGATAGTCCGGATTTTTTGTAATCCGGACCGGACGCCCGCCACATTAGTCCGGATGAGCGAGAGTCTACTGTACCATTTTCCATCCGTTCTCCAAACTCCTCATCTCCTATACGGTATATATATATCGACCTTCTTTAATAATTCTTAGTTCTTCCCTCTATAACTATCAACTCAAATCATCAAATTCTCTCTCATCACATTCTTTTCACACATCCAAACCATTGTAGTCTCGCTTTTTTCCACTTTAAAAATAACTTGGAAGCCAAAATTAATCATTGATAATGATAATCTCAATGTCATTGATTGGGTTAACCTTAAAAAAACATGTGGATATTCCAACCTTAAAATTGATAAAGCATCTCAAAACTCTTTGATAACTGAATATAACAAAACTAACCTTCTCAGAGTCTCCTCTGTTCGACTTACTACAGTAAGGTTTGCCAACTATTAGAATATTATTTTGAGAATTGAACAAATCTGTATAAGGATTTCTGGAATAAGACACTCCTAATTTATTAATATCGCTTGTTAGATTACAATATAGAAAAATTATGATTTGACGTTGGGTTATGTTATTCAGTTGTCAGAATCAACTGTCTCCCCACATTTCCTGGAGATGCTGCTGTCTCTAGGCTGGGTAGTGAGAGTCTCTCAACATCCGGGCTGGACAGGTCACATTGCTACCAGCTACAAGCTGAACCACACCACTGGCTCGGGTAAGATATAAGAGCAAGTACTCCAGTGTCGAGTAATTAATTTAGTTTCTACAAGTAGGCTACAGTACTTGAGAGGTACTTTTCATGTGAAATGAACAATATTTGTCATATGGTACTCCTATATCTGCACACCTCCACTTCACATCCACTCTTGTCTCTCCTCTTGCCAGTCCATGTAATTGCACCCTCCTTCTTTTCAGATAATATGGACATTTTTATTATCAATCTTCTTGTATTGCAACATTGTCCTTCCAGATATCTTATTATCATACCTTCTTATTTTATTATAATATGGGTGATATTATCATTCCTCTTGTACCACAACATTGCCCTTCTACATTTCTTGTCTTTTTATAAGGCCCCAACCATCGCCTTATATAGTGGTAGCCAGTCCGTGTAATTGCTACCTCCTTGTTTTCATATAATATAGGCATTTTTATTATCAACCTTCTAGTACTACAACATTGTCCATTTACAACTCTTCTTATCATACATTCTTATTTTCATATAATATTGGTGTTATTATCATTCCTCTTATTCCGAAACTTTGCCCTTCTACATTTCTTGTCTTTCTAAGAGGCCCCAACCATCGCCTTATACAGTGGCAGCCAGTCCATGTAAGTGCTACCTCCTTTTTTATATGATATAGGCATTTTTATTATCAATCTTCATCTACCACAACATTGTCCTTCCACTACTCTTACTATCATTCCATCGTATTTTCCTATAATATGTGTGTTATTATCATTCCTCCTATTCCAAAACATTGCCCTTCTAAATTTCTTGTCTTTTTTTGTATAAGGCCCCAACCATCGCCTTATACAGTGGCAGCCAGTCCATGTAAGTGCGGCCTCCTTGTTTTCATAATTATGATCGGGGCGTTTTTATTATTAATCTTCTTGTACTAAAATATTGTCTATTTACAACTCCTATTTTCACACCTTCTTTTTTCATATAATCTTGTACCACAATTTTGCCCTTCTACGTTTATTGTCTTTTTATACGGCTCCAACCATCGCCTTATATAGTATTAGCCAATCCATGTAAGTGCTACCATCTGGTTTTTATATGATACAGGCGTTTTTATAATCAATCTTCTTGTACTACAACATTTTCCATATACAACTCTTATTTTTACACCTTCTTATTTTTATATAATATGTGTGTTATTATCATTCCTCTTATACCACAACATTGGCCCTTCTACAATTTTTGTCTTTTTTTATAAGGCCCCAACAATTGCCTTGTATTGTATTATTATTGTATTGTATTATACCTTGTATTATTGCCTTGTATTCTCCTTACTTTATTTTAAATTTTACTCATTACATGCTTTTTCGTAACTTTACTCATTGACCCCCAAAACTTAATTTTAATGTCAAAATTTGAAAGTTTTTAAGAGCCCCATGTTATTCTCATGGAGAATAACATTGAAATTTGATGACTTTGATGAAATTTGTTATTATCATCTGAATTGTTTAGAAACGTGCTAGAGACTTGTAATTTGGTACTATTGTAGTATGGGATCCTAAGTTAAGGGTAATATTTACAACCCCCCCCCCCCGAAATATTAAATCCTCCCCCCCAATGTTATTCTTACAGGTGTATAAGTCTAAATCACGTTTACCTATTTCTAGATTAACTGGATATCTGAAATTTGGCACGATTGTAGGTAATGCGCCCATTACGGAAAGGTAAATTTTATAAATATATCCTCCCCCCAAATATTAAACCCCCCCCCCTCGCCCCAATGTTATTCTTACAGGTGCACAAGTCAAAATCACGTTTACCCATTTCTAGATCAACTGGATATCTGAAATTTGGCACGATTGTAGCTCTTGCGCCGTGTCCCCCGTGGCTGATTTACCCCCAACCAAAAAAGGGGGCCTGGGGGCGGAGCCCCCAGCGAGCTAAAGGCGAGTTTTCATATAAAATTAGTGTTATTATCATTTCTCTTATTACACTACTTTGCTCTTCTTTATTTCTTGTCTTTTTTTTTGTATAAGGCCCCAACCATCGCCTTATACAGTGGCAGATAGTCCATGTAAGTGCTACCTCCTTGTGGTCATATGATATGTTCCTATTTATTATCAATCTTCTTGTATTACAACAGGTTCTTTCCATGACTCTCATTATCCTTTTATCACATTTTAATATAATATGGGTCTTATTATCATTTCTCTTATTCCACAACTTTGCCCTTCTACATTTCTTGTCTTTTTTTGCATAAGGCCCCAACCATCGCCTTATACAGTGGCAGCCAGTCCATGTAAGTGCTACCTCCTTGTTTTCATTTGATATGGGCATTTTTATTATCCATCTTCATGTACTACAAAATTGTCCTTTCATAACTCTCATTATCATTTAATCGTATTTTTATATAATGTGGGTGTTATTATCATTCCTCTTATTCCACAATTTTGCCCTTCTACATTTCTAATCTTTCTATAAGGCCCCAACCATCGCCTTATTCAATGGCAGCCAATCCATGTAAGTGCTACCTCCTTGTTTTCATATGATATAGGTGTTTTTATTATCAATCTTCTTGTAATACAACATTTTCCATTTACAACTCTTATTTTCACACCTTCTAATTGTCATATAATATAGGCATTATTATTATTCCTTTTCATTTGATATAGGCGTTCTTACATTGTCCTTCCAAAACTCTTATTTTCACACCTTTTAATTTTCATATAATATGAGTTATTAATTATCAATCTTCTTTACTACAACATTGTCCGTTTACAACTCTCATTATCCTTTCATCGCATTTTAATATAATATGGGTCTTATTATCATTTCTCTTATTCCACAACTTTGCCCTTCTACATTTCTTGTCTTTTTTTGCATAAGGCCCCAACCATCGCCTTATACAGTGGCAGCCAGTCCATGTAAGTGCTACCTCCTTGTTTTTATTCGATATGGGCATTTTTATTATCCATCTTCATGTACTACAACATTGTCCTTTCATAACTCTCATTATCATTTCATCGTATTTTTATATAAAGTGGGTGTTATTATCATTCCTCTTATTCCACAATTTTGCCCTTCTACATTTCTAATCTTTCTATAAGGCCCCAACCATCGCCTTATACAGTGGCAGCCAATCCATGTAAGTGCTAACTCCTTGTTTTCATATGATATGGGCGTTTTTATTATCAACCTTCTTGTAATACAACATTTTCCATTTACAACACACAATTCTATTTCCATTTACTCAATCTTTTCACACCATTTTTATTATCCATCTTCATGTACTACAACATTGTCCTTTCATAACTCTCATTATCATTTCATCTTATTTTTATATAAAGTGGGTGTTATTATCATTCCTCTTATTCCACAATTTTGCCCTTCTACATTTCTAATCTTTCTATAAGGCCCCAACCATCGCCTTATACAGTGGCAGCCAGTCCATGTAAGTGCTACCTCCTTGTTTTCATATGATATGGGCGTTTTTATTATCAATCTTCTGTAATGGGTCAAAATTATAGAGGGGTTAAGTTTTATTATTTATTATTTAATTATCAGTAGGCCTATTCCTTACCTGGTTGGTGATAGTGGTAAACCTATCATGGTAAGGTAAATAGGCTGTTCTAGGCCTATCCTAGGGTTGAAGTAGGGATAACCTCACTTTTGGCAAAATCACTAAAGACACTATTTTTGAGATTCACAAGTCACAGTATTGCATCGTTGTGTACAAAACGAGTGATAAACCGTTTCCGTGTAACCCCCATACCTAATATACACCTTTGGGAAGTACGGTCAAAGTTGTTGTTTAGGCTAGGGTGGTGAACCGCGATCACAAATACAACGTCGCGTACATAACATGCATACACTTTGTCGCACACTAAGCTACACGTCACGGGTGGAAATTATACTTTTTGTTTAAACCAGCGACGATATTAAAGTTCTGCCGTATAATTTCACAGTCGGCGCAGGTGAATAACAACATTAACATCATAACCTGTACTACTAGTCGGCTGTCTTGGCGTTGTGTTGTGACAGCGCCAAGTTTGAACTCGTGACGTCACCGATCAGCTGGGAAGTGAATCAGCTGATTCCCCCATCCCTAGAGGGTTAGGGAGGGGGAAGTAGTGGAGATCCCTTGTGGGCTAGGGATGCGACGACATTCTAATCCTGCGATTGCGAGAGTTAGGACGTTAGAGTGATTACTTTAGTGATTTTGCTAAACGCGTTACTTAGTGTATCAGTGAAGATCCCTGGAGTATACAGGTAATTCTTCGGCTTTATCTTAATAGTGTGTACTATTATTTTTTATTATTTAGCGATAAACCCTCATTTTATCCTTTTAGACATAAAACTCACGGTAGGATCTTTGTCGGGTGTTAGAACTTGTATAAGTCCGCTTTAGCGTATGCTAGGGCTCCCGTGGGTGGCAATAAAGAGTTTTAGGGATACAAATTTCGTTTAATATTGTGTTTACAATATATATTGAGGGTGACGGGGTTATAGCGGTTATTTTGCCGGGATATTCAGTAGGTGTTTAACTGCTGCGGCAAAGCGGGCAAAGTTGAACCCGTCTCTGCAGGTCGTGCAAACACGAGGTCGGGTGGAGCACGCTAAGTATATTCAGAAGAAATATTCTAAGTGTTGAGGTTGACGAAACTGCAACATTAAATTGTTTCAAAATTTCGTTGAATGGTTTTTCATTATTTTTAAATTTAATTTAAATAGCTATTTCCAGGTGTGAACGATGATGATGGTACAGTAGCGTTGTTGGTTACCGGTACTGAGTTCACACCTGATTCACACTACATTTTGCGTAAATACAAATCTGTACCTGTGCTAGGTTGTTGAGTTAATTAAATAAATTATTTTTATCTGAACCCTGGAAACTTCCCAGCACGCCGACTTGAGCGATCCGCTGGCGAGAGTTGGTGACGTCTTTCCCGCTTTAACTACGGAATAGCGCATATATTCCGAGCGGGAAAAACGCCACGTTACATTGGCGCCCGAACAGGGACATTTTTTGA